GGTGAGGTTCATAAAACACTCTGCAGTGGGGTGAGTAGTAGGTCCTCAACAGAAGTTAGCTGTTGTTGGGGGTGGCAGCTGGACGGAGCTCAGGCAGGAGACCAGCCTGAGCCAGACAGAGGCGGGTGGCACTTCTTTCTAGACACTGGCCCTGATGGTCAAAGCAGTGGGGAGTATAGGATGGGAATATGGAGGGTTTCCTCCGAGGCCTCTGTTTCTTCTTGAGGTGCATCAGCTGCTGAGGGGCAGTAAAGTGTGGTACAGATTTGGGGGAAAATGAGATTAGGCACTGCATAATGCACAGTTGGCCCTGGAGATCATACATTTGGAATGGCACAATCTCTGAGTTCTGAGTTTTCTCCAGCCCAGGAAAAAGGCAGAGGAGGGTGGGTCGAAGGGACCTAATCTGGACGTTTGAGGGGGTGACAGTCTTAGAAGGGGGAGCAGATGAGCTGCTGGGTTTACTGGAGAGGTCAGACTGGATGGAAAGAAAAAAGGGATGGTCCTGAGACTGGTGGCCCCTTCAATTAAGTGCAGATATCAGGTATAAAGACATGAAAGGACCACAGGATTGGAGGTGGGATATTGGTGTTTATGATTTCCAGGGAAGAGAAGGTTCCAATACAGATATGAGTGGGCGGCTGAAGTGGAGTGAAGGTAAATGTACTTAGGAGACAGGGACCGTGGATGTAGTCAGAGTAGGGTGAGGGCCTCCGGAGGGGGCAGGGCGGGATATTTTCAGTCAGAGGAATGTAACTACATGCAAGGAAACCCCCCTGCTAAAACTCTATGTTAAACATTGAGCTCTAGAATCATTCTTCAGTGAGATCAGTTAATGTTCCCCCATAAATAAGAGTAGAGCAATGTTTTATTATGCTAACCATTTATAATCATGTGTAAGATTCACTTTAGCATACTAAAAGGCCAAGGCTATGTGCTGTCTTTCCTCCTTCAGATCTGATGAAGTGATTTTGCAAACTGGGCAACTAATTTAGCAAGTAAGCCCAGGCATAAACAACACAGTAAAAGGCAAGAAGGATTCCACCTTAAGATAAGATTGCATTTTAATACCCAAGAAGTTAAGACGTTAGAAATTCTTAACTTACTCTTTAGCAAACAATACCTCAGCCCACCTTGGAGGGCTGAGCAGGTGGCTTTGTTTCATATGCTCCCAGACCAGGATGCTGGTATCTCAGAGAGAAATCAGAGGAAGTTGCTTGTGTTAAGTTAATTCTAAATATTCGGGAACCACTTAACAAGTCTACACCCCTAAGTTTTTTTCATATTCTCAAAAAATCCTCAACTGCCTATAAAATCCCCTAGACAACGCACCACTACGGACTCTCTTGTCCCGTCCTGGCGTGAGCCGGGAGCTCTGTCCTTTCACCTTCTCTCTAAATAAAAGCCTGTACCTTGCTCTCCTACCTTGAGTGTTTGTGAAGCTCATTCTTTGGCTCCACAAACAAGAACCCCGGCATCACTTAGACTCAGGTGTCCATCACCCACCAGATCTCAGCCATGATCACACACTCCCCTGAAACACACTTTCAACCTGCTGCATTCATTTTCTGGACTGCCAGAACACACACCACACTGGGTAGCTTAATACAACAGAAATGTACTCTCTCACAGTTTTGGATGGCAGAGCCTAAAATCAAACATCAGGGGGTGGGGTGGATGCTGGCTAAACCAACCTAACAGGATTCTTGTAGGTCAGCAGGCCAGGGTAATCAGGCATGACTTGGGGGCTGGTGCAGAATGAGGATAAATCAGGAATTGATCTACCTGATTAGGTACTGAGGGTGATCAAATATGAAGGGTGGGGAGTCCTTGCTAAAACTGGATTTTACACATAAGTGTGCAGATGGGCCAGGGAGGTTCAGGAGCCTAACACAAGTTTGCTAAGGAGAGAATCTTTGTCACACTTCAACTTATTACACTTGCTAGATACAATCGTTGTATCTAGTGAGATTGGTAAACTCGTATTTTTAACAAGCATGCATGGTAAAGCAACTTGGGAGAACCACCTTTCAGTTGGAACCAGAAGGACCTGAAAACTAAGAGGAGATGCTTCTCAAGAGAAAGGCGCTCTGATGAATCCACCTGGGAAGACTCAGAAAAGGTTGGTGGGATAAAGGAGGCTGACTGGGGGAAGCAGAGAGAGGCTTATATTTAGGGCAAAGAGAGGGAGGGATGGGTGATGTAGTAGATGATCTGGCCCGAAGGTGGTAAACTGTCCCCAGAGGAACCCAGCTGTACTGTGGCTTAGCCAAAAGTCTACAGCCTCTGCTCAGGCGATTTGACTCAAGTTGTTCTGGAGCTGCTAAGAGCTCCAGCCTGGGGAGCTGGGAGGAATGTGCTGGTTTGGAGAATGCTCACCCTCCACAGACCACGGGGATCTGCCCCTGCACACCCAGCCATTCTATTTGAAACCCTCCAGGGCTCTGTCCAAGGAGTCTTTCATGTTTTTCCAGAACTCCCACCAGGTCAATCTCACCTCCCTCTGAGGCTTCAAATCCTATTTGCATGCCAATGGCATCCACATTTACATCTCAAAATCAGCCACTACTACCCAAGTGCCAGACCTTGTTTTACTAACTGCCTTCCACCCAGACTCCTATAGTGAATCCTGGAAAAACTCACCACAACTTGTCTTCTAGTAGTTCCTATTTGGCTAGTAGCACCACTATCTACCCAGCCCCCCAGAACTGGAAATCTGGGGGACATTATGCCTCTTCCTCCAACCACACACTAAATCCTGCAATTCCCTTCCCTTGTCTGCATTCCCACTGCTTCGGTTCAAATACCCTTGGCTCCATGGTTGACAAGTACAACTACCTCCTAGTCAGAGATGCAGCCGGCCTTCCCCTCTGGGGGAGGACAGTCTCCCAGATGCCGAACAGACTTTTTTAATAAGCCAAACTTGTGAAGAACTAATCTGACTAACTGCAGGCTGCTGCATAAATACCAAATTTCCTAGCGGGACACAAGCATTTTCACATAGGGCCCTACTCACCTCCCAATGCCCCAAATCATTTTTTTCTAGTGGAACTTTTTTTGTTTAAAAACAAAAACAAACCCAAAACGGCACAACTCAGAAAACCAACTTGAAAAGAGAGAGGATGAGGGGAATAAAGATCTATCTTTTCTTGATTCTAGAAGTCTGGAGTATTGCCTGAGGACTGTGCAGTCTTCCCAGGTGATTCAGAGGCAAATCTAGGTTTATCGAAAGCCTGACAAATCACATTTAGGAACCCAGGCTACTTATGTTCTTTCTGTAGGGATAGAGAAAGCACAGAGAGGAACTGCAATCCGCCCGGTCTTTTGGGTCCCATCGCTTCTGCAACCTCACCTAGATTAGAACACTGCAGAACTGTCAAGCAGAAATTTTAAGAAAGGAAAGGGCATCTTTGTAGCCTGCAAATCTGATGTGCAACATAAAGCACTTTCCAGTTACCAAAAACATTCCTGCCCAAAAATACGTATGGAAAATACCGAACCACTTTAGAAAAGTTTAGTCGGCATTGCTCCACACTCCTCGGGGTTAAAGGTAGATGTGTATGGAAGCATTCTTTTTTGTAATCATCAAGGCGTTAAGACAATTGAAAACCTGAGAAAAGTAACCTCGCAAAAGGAAGCTCTCCTATCCGCATTCATTCACACATAGACTGTATTAGGCTGCCATGTTTACTTGGACATGTGAAGAGCAAACAATGTAACAGAGGAGCCTTGAGCTTTGACTTCCTACCAAGCACGTTAAAACGTGAAGAAACTTTGCAGGACGTTTGCATATTCACTAAAGCTCCTATTAACTCCTGAGCCAGGTTGAACAATAGAAGGGCTGAAGGAAGTCATTAATTGAGCGCCCTGTACATGTTTTTAAATCTTTCACCGTGCCAGAAGCGGCTGTTCCTTTGCTTTCTCTTTTTCAAATTGTTTCCGTAGTCATTGTCCCCCCACGAAACGCCCGGCGCGCTCGGGGAGCAGGCACAGCGTTCTGCAAAGTGTAACGCGGCCGAGCTCCGCCAGGTTTTGGAAAACATTCCCAGCCTTTCCAGCGGTTCTAGGAAAAGTAGGAGGCCTGGGCGCCAAAGGCTGCTGCCAATGCAGCTAGCAACTTTTGAAATCAATCCTTTTTGCATCATGCAACGGATGCCACCGCTCCTCGGGTTTGCAACCCCCCACCCCTCCCCCGAGACCAATCATTGCCGCGCTCGGGCCTGCACATCGCCCCCGCCCCCTTCCCGGGCCGCACGCAGCCACGCTGCTCCGGCCGCGGCTCGCCGCCTCTTAAAGGGAGGTAGCCGGCCCTTAAAGGCCCCTCGCCCGCACCTCACGGCTGAACGCGGAGACCCGGTTCCGGGCAAGGGCCCGCCGAGCCAGGCCGAGCCCCCGCGGCGCCCCGGCGCTCCCGGGTTCTCCCGCCTCCGTCGCCGCCCGGAGCAGCATTTTTATTCAGGCGACGCTTAAGGAAACCCGGCCGCACCCGGTGCATTGTGGGAGTGCCGGAGTCCCGTTTTCGGAGGAGGAGGAGGGCGCAAAGCGAACCGGTAAGCGCCTGGCTTGGAGAAGGGGGGGGCGAGCCGTCAGGCTTAAAGGGGAATATTCGTCCGCAGGCCCATGGCGGCCGTGCAAACCCTCTCCGGGCCGCCCGGGCCCGCCGGGAGCAGTGCGCATTCGGCGCGCACCAGCGCTGCCTGGAGAGGGGCAGAGCCAGGGCTTGGTGGGGCCGCTTTAAAAAAGAAGCACCGCCCGCGCCGCTACCGCCGCGCGGAGCCGGAGAAGGAAGGAGGGAGGGAGAGCGAGCGAGCGAGGGCGGGGGAGGAGTGGAGGGGGAGGCGGCGGCGGCGACGTAGGGGTTAATTTTTTCGCCCGCCGACATTTTTGAGTGGCGGCGGCTCGCGCGCGACGGGAGCAACCACCCCGGTCTCCGGGCGCGGCGCGCTGCGCCTCCGGGCCTCCCCGCCCCCACGCCCTCCGGCCCGCGGCGCCGTCTGACTCCGGCCGGCCCGCGGGCCGGGGTACCCCCGCGCTTGCGCCCGCTCCGCCGTGGCCGGTTCACAGAGTCCGCCTCGCGCGGTTCCCGCCGCCGCCGGAGAGCAGGCGGGCGGGCATGGCCCAGCCGCCGGCGCCGCCGCGCTGCCTCCTCCCGGCCACCACCAGCCCGCCCGCCGCGCCGCACAAAGAGCCCAGGCCCGATTCGCTTAAAGGCGGCAGCCTGAGAACGCTTTAAGGTGTCCCCGCGTGTTCCGTTCTTCGCGCTCCGCTGCCCCCTCAACATGCTTTATGGAGAGCGCCCGCGCCGCGGTGGCCATCCCTTTGTTTATTTCCTGGGCTTAGGGGCTTGAGGATAGGTAGTATCCGGCAGGGCTGCACTCGCCTCCATCCCCACTTACCGGGCTCCCCGAGCTGTGCGGCCCGCTTTGCGAACTCATTTAAGAAATGTAAACGTGGCCAAGAAGGAAAGGGTTAACGGTTGTCTTTAAATATTCATGTCATTGTTTTAAAGGTGTAAACATGAGGCTTCTGGGTTGGAGCTGACTGCCCCTAACTATGCACATTTACTCCCCCCATTAATTGCTCATTCCCCGAAGCAGTCCCCCCTTCTCAAATCTTGCAAAAACAATGTAAGTTTTGAAGGTTCGATGTGAGAGAGTGGTTTGTGTCCTTCGATCCATTTGGAATCTTAAAACTTCTGAGTCCCTCTGGACGCAGGGTATTTTTTAACTTTTTTCTCCCATAAAAGTCTGGAAAGATACAAATTATGTTTAATAGGAAGTCCCCGAAATTCCACATTCCCCTCCCCGCTTTTTTTTCTTGACTAGGGATTGGAGGTAGGAAAATAACTGATGCCTAGTGAGCTGACTTTTTTTCCTGGTGAGAGTGAGGCGGTGTTAAATGCGGGGTGTTTTGTGAGGAAAGGACTGATGCTTCTGTTCCAAACCCTTCCGAGTCGATATTGGACTTTTCCTAACTCTAAAATGGCTTCAAAATGACCATCTCCGTAACTTGTTTAACTCTCCTGCCGCCCGCCTTTTGGACAGGTTTTTTTCTTGAGGCATTGGCGGGCCTACTCCTCTACAGTTGTAGATTTAAGACTGAAATCACTGCTTACCCCAAACATGTTTTTGTAGACAGTTTGGATTACTGCCCAAACTCGGACTTTGTAAGATTCATTTCCAATGAGCGATGTGCTTCCCAGGGGATCCAAAACTACATAAAGGGGAATTGTTTTCTTAATCATTAATTTATAGAAGAAACTGACCCTAAAACTTGGGGTGTCTGTCATTCTATGCCCAATAAGGTATCATCTGGAGGTTTGTAAACCTTGGAGCTCATGTAAGTTTTTGGTTTAGCCCCAAATGCTTCAAACTTAGAAGGGATTCCAGTTCTAGGAACTATCAGTAGTACCAAGTACCATAAATGCTAGTGTTGTAGAGCTGTTTATCATTTTTTTTCTGCAATGAAATAGTAATGAGCAGTAGCATATTTTGTCAATGATGTGTGGGTACTAGTTTGTTGAGCGGGATGTTTGCTTTCTAGGAAATACCACTGCATGAAAACATCAGAGAACTTTCCACTCTCTCTTGAAAAAAATGAGTCTTGCTGTGTTAAACAGCCATTTCAGTTTTCAAGTTGTGTTCCTTAGTGAGGTTTCCTATTAGTTTTAGGTCACGTTGTGTACTTCTGGCTCAGAGTAAAATCATGCTTTTCTAAAACTGAATTTACCATCATGAAGGATTTCATCAAATGCATTTCCATCAACTTGGCTTGGTATGTGAACCGTTGTTTCTTTTATATTTCCCCAAGTAGAACATCTTGGGTGCAGTGTCCTTTTCATGCAGTGTTTATTAGGTTTTTTTGTATTTCTGTGTGAGATAGCAAAAGATATCAAAAGGTGCTTCAGAAAAATCGCTTTAGCCAGGACATCTAATTTCTTTGCTACAGTGCTTCCAGGTTAACACATGAAGTGACTAGAAAGTTTCTCATAATACTGCCAGTTAGAAGAAACTTTTCGGACTATGTTCAAGATGGCACTGTGTCATGTAAGCCAGCTGGCTCATTGTCCTTCAGAGGAAGTCTTCCTTGCTGTCCCGCAGAGCCACAGTTACAATACACACACATCAGGCCTTCTGTAGATGTTGTCTGCGGTAGTATAGCCACTGTTTGAAATGACTTATTCTGGCTTATGCACCACTGTGATGAACTGATGTGGCTCCAAAGCACGGTTTCCCTGTCATCTGGGTGATGTCAGACCTTTGCATATTTACTTTCACTATCATGTACTCATTTGATTCTTGGCAAATACTGGTGAGAATTCTTTTAATGGTATCTGTGTTTTGGTGATTCCTAGGTGGATCTATAAAGAAACCAGCTGATAGGAGAGGGAGGGGAGGAGCCCAGCTGCAAGGTACGTGTGGCCAAGAACCATGTCTACACGGGAGTCCTTTAACCCGGAAAGTTATGAATTGGACAAGAGCTTCCGGCTAACCAGATTCACTGAACTGAAGGGTACTGGCTGCAAAGTGCCCCAAGATGTCCTGCAGAAATTGCTGGAATCCTTACAAGAGAACCACTTCCAAGAAGATGAGCAGTTTCTGGGGGCAGTTATGCCAAGGCTTGGTATGTGAATCATTTCTTCTTTTAGACTTCCTTGAGTAGAGCATCTTGGCTGTAATGTAGTCAATGAGTCAGAAACCAGACTTCTCTCCTCCCATATGGTGTCCTTTTTTCGTTTTTTAATTTCTGTAAAAATCAAAGGGCAGGGGTATGTGGGGGGGACTTGGTGAAGTGGGGAGCCTAGTAAACAATGTCCTTCATGTAATTGTAGATTAATGATACCAAAATAAAAAAATAAAATAAAAAATCAAAGGGCAAAAAACTGTGTTAAGTTATTGTAACTTATTTGGAGGAAATACTTGAAGAGCATCAAGAAGTGCACTCTCCGTTTTTCAGTTTTTAAACTATGAAGTATGCACCCGAGACAGTTATATTACAGTAAAAGCATTTTTTATTAAAATGAATTTTCTGGTTCACTGAGGATTAAACAGAAACTCCTTTAGACCTTCATCCTAAACTTACCTGCATGCTTTCTCCTCATTGCCTTAGGAAAGGTGGTGCGTAGGCATTACTGTGCCGTGCTTTGAGAGCAGTGGCTGAGTTGATGGAACTTTTGGCAGTTCCTCTGCAATATGCATTGTTTGAAGAGCTCCTGTAGAGAAGGGGGAGAAGAACGCTGCAGACTCAGAAAGGGAGAAGACTGAACTGAATCTGTACTTGACCCCCAAGATTTCATCTGGAGTTGAGAGCCATGTTTTTTTCTTTACTAAATTCCTGTGTCATTAGTGATTTGCTTTTTCCCAAACATAGAGCTCAGAAAGAAGTAGCCTATTGGGATATTGTTTGTTAGCTTTTGTCATGTGTTTTGTTAAGTGCGTGATGCAAGACCATGAACGCTTTGCCTTCCGAGTAACTGCCACATATTCTAGAGGGTTGGCTGTTTTGTCGTTAAGGTTTTGTTGTTAAGGTGTGTGACTTGATCAGCTTTTTTACATAAGGTTGTTATTTCACTCATTTTCACCCATTATTTTATTGTGCAGTCCTGTCGTACATCATTGGTTTTGAACACAGGGTACTCCTTTCTTCCCCGTAAATAAGGTGGATAAAAGCAGAGTTGCTTTGATTGGGAGAGAGGCAAACTCACACGTCATACTCTAGGGGCCTGCAGGGCTCCCAGGAGCTCATTTTGAAAACCATTTTCATGTAGTGTCTGAGCATGGAGGAACACCATGTGAATGAGTTGGATTGGATGTCTGCTTACTTATAAGAAATAATATACTAAGAAAGCTCTTAGATAATGTTTTCAAGAAAAGTAAGCTACCAAATGGGCAAAAACAAATGCAATAAAAATCTTAATGGATAAAGTAATAATTGCTCTTTATAACTCCCCCTATTGACCTTACTGAGCACCTGGCCATGCCTTGCACCGTTAAGGACTTTGATAATGGGTCATATCATTGGCTCCTTCCAGCAGCCCCATGATGCTCAGGAAGGCTGGGTAACCAATTCTGACCAGGTCAGGACCTGAAATATACATCTTTGATTCCTCCACCCACTGTACCGCTTGTCATCTGGTTTCTAAGTCCAAATGTGTTTGAAGTGGGGAGGGGCTGCCTCACCTGTACTTCTTCACAGTGGCTAAAGGGGACAGATACCGACAGCAAGGGAAGAGGCAGGAAAAAGCAAATTAAAGAACACAGAGGCAAAGGGGCCTAGTCATACAAGGTTTTTAAGAAGAAAATGAAAGCTGTGATTCTTGCCCAGGAAAATGCACATCCACAAAACTTTGCATTCACAGCATTACCTAGAGGTAGACATACCCTAAGTTATAAGCAAGTGGATGCTGAAGAAAGCACAGTATTACAACCTTATACAGAAGTGGTATGTCTTGAAAGCCAAAACTTTGCTTTGGAATAAGATCTAGATTCATATCCTGACAGTCACTCACTGGTCGCTAATGTAACCCTGTGCCTGTTCTTAACCCTGTTGAGCTCAGGTTCCCAATCTATAAAATGGATAATAATGCTGTTTGTAAGTGTTATGAGTACCAGGAATTGTATGTGTTGTGTGTGTGTGTACTGTGTGTCTATACCACATACATACTACATGTGTGTATATGTAATATATAAAATCGTGTGGCTCACAGTATATTTCTTTTGGACAGCACTAGTCTGCAGTAGTTTGGTTTACAAGTCACCTATCAAATTTCAAGGAAGGGAAAGAGGATGAGTATGTGTATATATGTATACACATGAGTGTGTTTATCTGTTTTTAAATTTTTTGCTAAAACGTCATATGTTCTGGATTCTAAGATGGTAGTAATTGAAGGATGAATCGTAACAGTTGTTTAATGTACACATTTATTAGGTGTGTTCTAACTAAAGAAATGTTAAAATAATTGCACCTAGAGCCTGGTCCATCTCTCTATTGCCTGGTACCTTAGAGCTATCAACTGTCAATCACTGCTGGCAGTGGTGATAGTATGATCATTTGGGTAATTGATATATGGTTTCAGTCTTGCTGAGAACCTTCTAGAATTCCCCATTGTCTACCAATAATTGCACATATACTGCTTGGTCTGGAATTTGAGGCTTCCTCCCCCTCTGGCATTTTTCTTTGTTCCCACTTGCCCTCTTTTTGGACTGACTCTTTCAACTTGATACCCTAGTTTATCGAGGCCCATCGCCCATCTCAGACTCATCATCTTTCTCTTCCTTCCTTGAAATTTGATAAGCAGTTTGCAGACCAATCACTGTAGATCAGTGCTGTCCAAAAGAAATAAAATGTGAGCCACATGTGTAATTTTAAATTTTCTAGTAGTCACATTTTTAAAATTATGTGAAATTAAACTTCATATATTTTATTTAATCCAATATATAAAAAATACTTCAACACTTAATTAAAATAAGAACATTACTAATGAGATGTTAGGTCTTTTGGTAAACATGCTCAATAGTCATTAGTTAAAATGCTCTGATGGTAGGGATAAATAGAAATTAAATACTTTACAAATCAAATATAGTTAAATCTGCAGTTACTCAAATTAGAAATATTCAAAGCTTCAGCAACTATTTTTAGTGTCTCTTCCAGTAGTCCTCTAGTTTACATGAAAACCTAAGAGAAAACTATGTTACACTCTTCCAAAGCATATAGTATTATACTTGGAATAACCAAGAATTTTACATCCCAGTTGCTGGAATGATCAATTTAGAGAGAATCAGTGTGAGTTAAATTGTGGTTCTTACCCTATTTCCACTTGAGCACTAAAGAACAGTTAGATGAAGGTTCTGAGAGGCTGTGCACATAGCTTGTTTAGATGAATCATCTAATACACATCTCCTCCACCTCACCTAACACAGATCAAAACTGATTGTTCCATTGTCACAGATGTGTGAGACCTGCCATTCTGAGACAACTCTCCATTCCCTCACTGATCTCCACTTGGCCATCTAGTGTAGTAAAAAATCCACTGGCCTTCAAAGAATCCATGACTTTTTATTAAACTTGATTTTACCTTTTTTTGTGAGTATTAATGGCTCAAGACCTGGAAAATTAAGATGCTTCTGTGACCCAACCTTTATTGGTAGGTTGCTGTCGTGGTGCTGAAATAGTTGTACCAGAGCAGTTTTAGTTTGTAGAACACGAAAGGTGCAGTATGATTCGGGTAGGATTTACTTTGGCCCATTTGGACTTCTGAATTGAGCGGGTGGCATCCCCCCCTCAATTTTTTTGTACTTGATCCTGATTTTTTTTCTCTGCTTTGGCTATTGGGTTGCAAGCTTGAAGTACTTCCTCAGAGGGCAGGCTGGCATCCTTTGAGAGGTATAGGAAGCACTCTGTTCAGCTTACTTGGTGGGAAGGCCAGTCTGAATGTGTAAAGTCTGTGTTATAGGTAATTTTAACAGAAATGTAGCCTGCAGTAGCTAGGCTTGACTTTCTCATCTGATTTCAGGAAAAGGGAATTATTTCTAATTAGTCCATCATTGCCTATATTATCTTTTCAATTGTTTTTAGGAATAATTTTTAATACGTTGAAATATTTTCCACAGGCTTGTTCAGCAGTTTTTCCCCGTTCATAGGAGAAGTTAGTAAAGGTGGCATTTTTAAGTTTTTCACAAGGACAATAACAAAATTTTAAGGTTTCCTCTTTTAAAATGCTTTTGGGAACCTATTTAACAGGTCACATAGATGCCACTGTGTTTATGTACTTGCTTGATTAGAAACAAGAAACACGTATTTTGGCTTTATTCCTTCTCTTTCTGTATTTTTTGTTATTTTCATTTTTGACTAAAATGTAGAAATAATCATAGCATTTTATATGAGTAAAATAATTGACAAATTTTCTGTTGGGAAAACAGTAATACCTAAAAATAGCTCAGAATGTAACTAGAAAAGATGTTTGTGGTGCTAGTCATGTGAACAGGTAATCCAAAGGAAACGTTCCGTTCGCGGCATCGAGTCTGTATTGCTGTGCCATATTGAAGTTGAGTCTTCATGACTAACAAATTTTATTCTCATTTTCTATCCTAAACTAGTTATGTTTCACATTTATTCCAGTCATGCTTCTTGATAGGAAACACATTGCTTCATTGGCAGCGCACAGAGTTCCACAAGTATCTACAACAAAATTTGCCCTACTCAGACCACTTGTGGTGTAAAATAAAATGGCTTTTCCTTTTGATTTCGGGTGGTGATGACTTCCATCTTTGCAGGCATTGGAATGGATACTTGTGTCATTCCTTTGAGGCATGGCGGTCTTTCCTTGGTTCAAACCACGGATTACATTTATCCTATCGTTGATGACCCTTATATGATGGTAAGTTTGACCTGCTGTGTTTTTACATCTGGAACTGCTATTTGTTTGGTTTGGGGTTGTGTGCAGGGATGTGCATGGGGAGTGGGGGGATGTTAAATCCAGACTGCTCTCATTCTGCCCCTGCCCTGACCCTTGCAGTTAACAGGCTGTGACTTCTCCCCTGCTCACACTTGGTGCTGTGGCAAAGTAGTTAAGGGAGACGTGGGGAGCCCTTTGCTACCTTTGGACCTGAGGGTGTATTAACTGACATGTTTGTAGTTTTCTTCTTTCTTTCCTTACACCTTTCTTTCTTTGACATTCGTCATTTCCATCTTCTGTGTTACAGGCTAGAGATATTACCGTACTGTAATAGGACTGATCACAGATGTTTCCTTCCAGAAATAAAGAGCTTAGCATCTTCACCACAGTTAGGCTGCTTTACCATTTGTTCTGATTCCAGTCCCTTCCCCTGCTCAGTGTGTGTTATGTACTGCTGTGTAGAATTCGTATCTGAACTGCTATACCAAAGTTCTTAGCTACTGATCATGCCCTGCTTAGATTTTTTTCCCAGTTGTTCATCACATGGTTGCAGCCAGCAACCCCTTGATCCACCACCCACTTTAGCCTTCCCCCAACCAGTCAAGAGTTGCTGAAAAGAGATTGGAAACATCCTATTAGGAAATGCCAGAGATCCTTCCTGTGTGCCCAGGGCACTGGGATCAAATGGCACACGAGACAGCAAAATGTCACTTCTCATGTGCCAGTGACAAGCATACCACTTCCTGGAAACCTGTTAAGCTTCTACACATCCATCTGTTCTCTCTAGAGCAGTACTGAGGAACTCCCGGTCAGGTGGGACCTGACCAGGTAGCAAAGGTGAAAGAAGCTGAATTCATCCTTTTTTCCAGCATCTCTTAAAAGCCACCTGAGCAAGCCCAGAACAGAAGGGGCAGTAAATTGCTGCCGCCCTAACCAGAGGTTGGCAGTTCCAAGTCACAGCCACCTGTTGCCTTGTTATTGTTGCTAATGTGTCACAGAAGCTACTGAGCTTGCTGCCAAGTCTGCCAGGATGAGAAAAGTAAACCCAGAGAAGCAGTGAAACAGCTACTGAAATGCTGATACTTGGGCTTTGATTGTCCTTATGTCAGAAGATAATATGTCATGTTCTCTTTTACTGTCTAGATAATGGCGGCTTACATTTAAAAAATCTCCAGTGGTAGTAAAAAATTCTTTTAAATACTATTTTAAGGTTCCTTAAGAAATGATATAGTTTACTGAAAATCTGACTTCAGGCCTAGAATTTTTTTTTCTTGTATTTTTTAGTTTCTCAAACAAGATGATTTTCCTATTTATCTTCTATAGTTGTGAAGCTACAAAAATTTCTCCATCCAAGGGTATAAAAACCATCTTCTCTATAACCAATAAAGTAAACATTTTTTTAGACTCTGTTTAGGATTAAGTGGCTGTTGCCAGGTTTACTTCAGAACAGTTGTTTCCACAGCTCTGCCTATCAAACCATCAGCTCCAACCTTGGGTCCCCTAGCCGCTCCCACATTCCTTGTTCCTCCTTTAAATAAATTGCAGACTTCCCCCAATATTTAGAATGGGAAATAGGTTCATTTGTTGTGCACAAGAAAGAAGCATTATTAACAGGAATGGCTGAGAAAGAGTAAACAGCCTAGTGGTTCTGTGATTAAGGAAAGGTGACCAGCCTGCACATCACAAAGACAGAGTCCACGTGCCTGGGAAGTCCCCTCCTCTGGGGTCATGCTGCAGGCTTGCTCTGTGCTTCTCCATATGGAAAGTCCCCGATTGCCCTTTCTCACTCCTCCCCTCTTTTCCAGGGCAGGATAGCATGTGCCAATGTCCTCAGTGACCTCTATGCAATGGGGGTCACAGAATGTGACAATATGCTGATGCTCCTTGGAATCAGCAATAAAATGACCGACAGGGTAAGTAGGAGACAGTCCAGCTGCTTTCTCGTCTGCTGTCTTGGCCGGGCCATCTGACTGGCTAGCCCTCCATCCCCAGCTGTGAAGTGAGGAGCCCAGGCTGTGTGGCTTCTGTATTCCACCCAGCTCTCCACTTTTTGGCAGTTCATCATTGAATTAAAGTACAGTCTGGCCTATTCCTATTTTCATTGCTACTACCTGCTTCCCTGAATTTCTTCTGGGAAGACTGAAGCCAAGACATTAGTATTTGTACTAATAATGTTCAGGCCTTAGTACTAGCACCTCTGCACCACTGGCCTTAACACCCAGCAGGCGCCCTCTGGTTGCTGGTTGGATCGCTGCTGTGGACGGCGCTGAGCCCCGGGGTCACATGTGTCCATGTGCTCGCCCCGCAGTATCTGTGGCCTTGCTTCCTGTACCTGTTCTTTGACAGAGATGATTTCCATATAGATTATTTTTAAAATGTACTTGTTTTGTCCACCAAAAAGAACTTTGCCCTGCCTATAGAAATTAGAGTTCCCAGTAGGCCCTTTTCTGCCCTACAGTGTGCGCTTGCACAGCTGTCAGAAGGGCATGTGATGTGGACTAAGCCAGTCTTGAAATTCTTAAGGACCATGTAAAAAACTGGCTCAGAATAAGGGCAAGACCTGTGTACCCAGTCATTTACTTCTCTGTTGTCTCAGCTTCACCCACATTGTGATCTAGAACATCGCCCACCTTTGCATGAAGTGTCTGCAATGTAAACTATTCCCTACTTTTTTCTGTTACTCCTGCCCTGTCAGTAAACTTCAGGACTTATTTTAGGGTGTTAGCCTATTTATAGCCCCAAGTGTAGACTTTCTTTTCAGAGTTTTGAACTGAATTACGTGACTTTTAACCTGTGTCCTTTTAAACCCTAGGAAAGGGATAAAGTGATGCCCCTAATTATACAGGGTTTTAAAGATGCAGCAGAGGAGGCAGGAACGTCTGTAACAGGTGGCCAAACAGTGTTAAATCCCTGGATTGTTTTGGGTGGAGTGGCTACAACTGTCTGCCAGCCCAATGAATTTATCATGTAAGTTGACTTTTGTTTCTTGTCACCTGGCCTGGTTCTCTCTCTTCCTGTTATTTAAGTAGACTTATTGTGATGTTTATTTGCATACCACACAATTCACCCACTTAAAGTATACAATTCAGTGATCTTTGGGATATTCACAGAGTCGTGAAACCATTAGCAGAGTTCATTTCAGGACATCTTCATTTTCCCAACAGGAAGCCTATCACCCTGGCTGTTGCTTTGTATGTCCCCTGCCCCTGCCCTGGCTTCTTTCACCTCACATTGTATTAGTATAGTGCTTTTAAGGTTCATACATTCTGTAACATGTATTAGTGCTGCATTCCTGTTTTTAAAAATTTTAGATTTTTTTGTATTGGAGCATAGCTCATGTAACAAAATTTCATGTAACATGAAATTCAACTTTTTAAGGTTTACAATTCATAGATTTTTAGTATTTATAAGGTTATGCAACCATAACCACTGTGTAATTCCAGACATTTCCATAACCCCAAAAAGAAAACCCTATATCCATAAGTGGTTGGTCACTCTCAGTCCCTTCCTTCCCTTGTCCCCTAGGAACTGCTAATCTACTTCCTGCCTCGTGAATTTACCTATTCTAGACACTTATTATAAATGGAATAATACATTATGTGGTGTTTTGTGTCTGGCTTCTTTCCCTTATTGTAATGTTTTCAGGGTCCATTCATGTTGTTATGTGTAAGTGGTACTTTCTATGGCTGAATAATATTCCCTCATGGTTATTCAATATAGATGTTTGGAGAAGTTTCTCTCTCAACAAGAGTTGTCACTTTCCATGTTTGATGTCTTGTTAAGAAAAAAGCCACCTTGTCTTACTCTCTGAAGGAAGTAGAAACTCAGTTTGTGTATCTTACTTGTGCATAGGTATTGAGTAGCACTGTGCTCACATGGTTCAGAATTTGAAAGGTTTGAGGGGATGGACAAGGCAGAGTCCCTCACCCATCCCTGAACACCAGGCTCCCTTCCAAGGCTTTTATCAGACTTGGCTATTTTTAACCACTTACTATTAACATTTAGATTTTTTTTCAATTATTTTGTCATTACAAAGGGTACTCCATTGAGTAACCTTTTATGTAGATCATTTTGTATTTGTGTGACTCCTGGTAAGAAATTTTTCAAAACAGCATTGCTGGTTAAATGTATATGCCCTGCCATTTTGAGAGCAGCTCCAGATTGCCCTTCAGAGAGGCTGCACCAGTTTTTGTTCCACCAGCAGCTGAATGTGAGTGCCAGTTTCCCCACATCTAACTAACATGGTCCAGTAACAGACTTCTTGGTCTTTGTTATTCTGTTTGGTGGTTTTAAGCCTTAATCCTGTGAGTGAAAGTTGAGTATGTTTTTTGTCCATTTTTTAATTGATGGGAGCTCCCTTTAGAATCACTGAGAGCTTTCATGTTAAGGGCTTGTATTTTACTTAAATAAAAGTTTTGTTTCCCTATCTTATATGTCAGTAGTTTTCAAACTTTCCTCTTAAGTGGTATGGGAGATTCTGAAGCCCATCTCTGTCACCCATTTCAGCTTTTCAGTAGAAAGAGAACTTAGCAACAGAGGAAGTTAGGAAAAAATCATCAATGAATTACTTTTTGTCAAGAGCATGTATGTTTACTTTGTAAAATATGAATGAGCCTATACATGTGATTATACTTCATAAAATGGTGCCTGTAACTTAGGAAAAAAAACAGTAATTTTATCACACTTGCTGATACCAATTTTTGTAGGTTGCACATGACCAGTGATGTGCAAGAACAAACCAGCTTAAGGTATGGCTGAGTCAGAATTGAAAGACATACATATCTTAAGATTTAGTTTTTAGAAAATGGGTTTCTTGTATATCATCACAGAATTATTCTTTGTGAAGAAGCTAACAGTGGACACAAATATTGTAGGTGAGTTGGGGAGCTAGTTGTTAATTTTTTTAAGTCTGTGCCCCTGGACTTTTTAATGGACTTGAATGATTGAATCGTCTGCCATTGGGATGGAATGGCAGCAGGGAGGGTGAGCATTGACCTGCATCCCGGCAGGCAGGAGCAGGCATGGCAGGCATGCATTTGAGGGATCTGTGGGCACTCTCTCTCTCTCTCTCTTTTTTATATTCAACATGGCTTTATTTTCAGAATCAAATGATCAGGGAAACCCCAAATGGTCTTTCATTTTATTTCTTCTTGGTGCTTTTTGTATTAGGGTGATTGAATAAGTATAATATACAAATGTTTATTCATAAACTACATTTCACATGTTATCTTATTTAAGTCTTCAAAAAATTCTGTAAAGGTGATTTTCAGTCTCATTTAACATGAGAAAACTGAGATCACTTGTCATTCTGAAAATAAAATGGTATCAGAAAGTACTGATTTGTTTACATCACAGAAGCACCATCTTCCCTGCCCAATTTTAATCAAATCTGAGTATTTTCTTTAATGGAAGATCTGTACAATTTCAAAGCTGACTTCTGATCCATAGACAAACAATCCTTATCCAGAGGCCTAAAACTTCATTATCTTCAAAGCTGGCCTAATATGCTTATGGCCATTGCAAAAAGCTAGTGCACTATCACAATTGTTCACAGCTATGGAGAACCGGGAAGGATTCTTAGGGGTCGTTTCTTCTTATCTTTCAAATGGTGTGGGTCTCTCTCTTTTTTATCTTTGCCTCCTTCCTGTCTCTAAGATGCAAAAACCAAGGAAACTCATCGTTGGTCTGAGTTTGAGAATTTGGTGCTGACTGAAATCACCAAAACATGAGACCCACAGATCTGAGCCAGATTCCACAGCCTGAGAAATCTCACCTTCATCTCTACCACATAAGTGTCATGAAACAAGTCTTAGTTCAGAAGTCTTGTGGCCTCAGAACCATGGAGGTCTGTACTGAAAATTACACATGAGCATGGCTGATCAGAGCCCAGCGGGCCTTTGCCTTTGAAGGCTAAGTGATTGGCTTGCTTGTACACTTTATTTAGGAAAGCGGGATCTTGTAGGCAATTGGTGGTCTCTGCAGTTTTCTCCCAGAATGTGTTGGTTTCCACAGCAGTCTCAGTAGCAAGTTGCAAGGCTCTAATACATTATGGTAGTTGGCTTAAATTTAAGTGAGTGTTGTCACACAGAAATGTTTTTCCAGCTTTTTCTTTCTCCAATTTTCTGGTAATGCATTTCTTGGTTAATTTGGCTAGAACCTTCCCTTGTTCTTTTCTTCAGGCCAGATAATGCAGTGCCAGGGGATGTGCTTGTGCTGACGAAACCTCTGGGAACACAAGTGGCTGTGGCCGTACACCAGTGGCTGGACATTGTGAGTGAGCTGCTCCCGGAGTTGGGGTGGGGCTGAGCCCTAAGACTGCAGGGCTGTGGTGGCTTGGTTGGAGGGCTTGGAGAGAACGGGCATCCACTTTACTTGTCAGGTCATACTCGTAGCTCTTCAGTCTTTGCGAGCTGGGGCGTGTGCTTCTACAGAAGCTACAGCTGCTCATGAAGTCAGCCTGCTGCTCTCCTGCAGGGGAATCCCCTGCCCTGGGACACGTCCTAACGTGTGTCAGATCCAGATCTCCTCTGTCATCGGTATGTCTCCAAAAAATGAGCTCCTTTAGTTCTACTACCAGGGGACTTCAGGGTCAGTGAAGTCCTTACAGAAATCCTAGGCATATTCTTGTATTAAATCAAAGTTTCATGTGTTGAATGCTTAAAGTGAGTAAGCCCCAGCTGGGGGCTTCAAAGGTACGCGCATAAAGAGAATTTGAGAGGTAGTGGGCTCTGGTCCTCTGTTTATTTGGTGCTGAGATAGCTTTTTATCTTTCATACCTTAAGCATCACTGAAAATAACATGGAGAAAAATGTGAGGAAAGTGTGGCATTTGGGGTATTAATAAGGCCAGGGTTATTGACAGTTTAAATTATTTTAGTCACAAGGTCTTGGTTATTTTTATTTGGTTTTTTTAAACTAATTAGTGACTTGGAACATTTTGGTAAACAGTTGCCCTGTGAAGAAAGCATCTAGACTGTCAAGATGTTTATCCTGAGTCAGGTTTCCACTGAACTGTAACTATACTTAATTTAAAATTTGTCTTCATTACTGCCATTACAAGGCAGTAGCCACAGAGTTGCTTCAGTACGACTGTCTAGGTCAGAGTAATTTAGCACAGGAGCTGAAAGCAGAGACGAGGGGTTTGGGATTCTTCTCTCCTCCCCACCCCCAATTTGACATCACCTTTGCTTTTTTTTTTTTTTTTTTGCCAGTTTTTAAAAAGTGTTTAGAGTTGAAAAAAGCAAGTTCCAAAGACTGTGTAACATCACAATACCCTTTTTATGAAGGACAGAAGCAACCAGAGTATATATGTTGTTTAGGCATCTATATGTATGACTACTGTTTTTTGAAAGGCAGAGGAGTGACAAGTATAAATTTCAGAATAGTTGGTACCTCTGTGGGAGGGATGGGGGCAGCAGGATAAGGGAGGGGCATGTAGATAACCTTAAGTTACTAACTCCATTCAGTGTAGATTGTTGGGTGTGATTCGAAAAAGGAAGGAGAGGTTGTGTGAATGAGGGCCTTCAATGGGCCATTAGGACTTCCTGAGCCCAGCATAGTGATGCTGGATTCTTCCAAAATCAGGCTGAGGAAAAATGGAGAACACCTTTTCTTCCTGGCTTGTATCTCCTTTGTGGTCACACATGAATGGCGTCAGTGTGCACGCAGTTGGAGTTGTTTCAAATTGATTTGTCCGTCAAGATGACTTGATCCAGAATACAGGTAAAGTCAGTAAAAGTGTAACTGTGTGAAAAGTGAAAGCCAGTGTCCTAATAGGGGAGATGAGGAGAACCAAAGGATACTCAGAACTATTCAGGATGTGATTTACCCCCAGCCCAGGAGAAACTGCACCCAGCGTTTACGCAGCTTGTGTTGCCTACACCCAGCAGCCACATGCCCCTGCTGGGTGTCCATACCCAGTAAATTGCATCTGTCTACAGAAAGGCGGGCTGAGAACAGGAAAGATGCCATAATGATATGTCTGTAGGACATCTAAAATGTCACAGAAAAAAATGTTAGAAAACTTAATTTTGTGTACAAAATTAGATAAAACTCCCCCAAAAGATGACAAAGGAAAATATATGCACTTTCTCTCAGATGTTAGAAGTAAAGATTAATCACATTTTTTCATACTTCTCTCCCTCACTTATGTTCCTCTTACTAGCCTGAAAAATGGAATAAAATTAAACTAGTGGTCACCCAAGAAGATGTAGAGTTGGCATACCAGGAGGCGATGATGAATATGGCAAGACTCAACAGAACAGGTACTGGGCGGATGGCTCAACTCTTACAGGGTTGTCAAGCTTTCCAAACAGGGCCGGGAGGGAAACAACTTTGGCTTTGTGGGCAATATACAGTCGCAGTTTTACTGATTTCCTACCCCTCCCCGCCCCCAACACACCAAATAACTCTTTAAACATAGTTTAAAAAAAACAAAAAACCACTCTTACCTGGAAGAACAGGCCATGGGCCAAACCTGGCCAGTGACTGCAGACCTGCTTCTATAGGTACCTGGTTTGGGGCCCATAGGTCATGAGTGGGAACCCACTCTTCTCATGGGTCTTTGAAGTCCTAACCTCTAATGTGCCAGCAGAAGCATTTCTGGGAAAGCATCTGTGTGGTTGCTCTATGAAGATGACTAACAAGCAAACCAGCATTTAAAATGTAAGCTCCAAGAGGACAGGAATTTTTGTCTGTTGTGTTGTATTTACAGGGCTTAGAAAAGTGGACACACAACAGGTGCTCATTAAACACAGATTGAGTGAACTTTGCCTTCCACACTCTAGTATTCTTTTTGGTAGTTCATGGACATTTTCTTATTAACAGTCTTGTGAATGGCACCCCGTTTTACCTCTTTGGCCAAAAGGCAAAACATAAAAGAAATACATGCAATTTCCATTCTGAAACCCAAGTCTGTCTAACTATAAACCTGCTTGTTCTCAGACATTGTACATTCCATTTATATAAGCTAGTGATGGAAATTTATATAATTTTTATTGTGGAAAGACCAATTTTCTTTCTCATCATTAATTGCATTTTGAATTTAAGGACTTGGGGTTGTGTGGCTTCCTATTGCAAAACTTTGAAGATACTTGAAGATGAAGTTAGGATAAACATGAAGTTCAAAAATCCTGTCCTAAAAAAAATCGCTCTTCATTTAGTTTCTCAGGGTTCCCTGAGCCAGCCATCAGAAATGGAGTTAAATGTATTTCTTTGTCCCTTTCCTTCTTTTCTTCAACTTCGCCCAAATAACTTTGAACCAAATATATGTAATACTTAGCCATGAAATCTTCAGTTATTTTTTAAAAAAGATCTTTGACAAAGGAGCAAAGGCAATTCCATGGAGAAAGGATTATCTTTTCAACAAATGGTGCTGGAACAACTAGACATCCACATACAAAAAAATGAGTCTTGACACAGACCTTACACGCTTCCCAGAAATCAAAACGGATTGTAGTCCTAAACGTAAAATGCAAAACTGTTAAACTTCTAGAATATAGCGTAGAAGAAAATTTAGGTAATCTTGGTTTTGGTGATAACTACCAAAGCACTATCCGTAAAAGAAAAGAATTGACAAGTTGGACTTTGTTAATATAAAAAACTTCTGCTCTGTGAAAGACACTAGAGGATGGAAAGATAACCCACAGGCTGGGAGAAAATGTTTACAGAATACACATCTGATAAAGGACTGGTATCCAGAATATACAAAGAACTCTTAAAATGCAACATTAAGAAAAAAAACAGGTTTAAAAATGGGCAAAAGATCTAAACAGACACCTTACCAAAGAAGAGATACAGAATCTGCCAAATAATCATGTGAAAAGACGCTCCACATCGTATGTCAATAGGGAGTTGCAAATTAAAATAATGAGATACCATTACACACCTATTAGAATGGCTAAAATCCAAAACCCTGACACCACCAAATGCTGACAGGGATGTGGAGCAGCAGGAACTCTCTTTCACTGCTGGTGGGAAGTCAGAATGGTGCAGCCACTTTGGAAGATGCTTTGGCAGTTTCTGGCAGTATATTATATTAACTATGCCAATATACTAACATGATCCATCATTTGTGCTCCTTGGCATTTATCCAAGTGAGCTGAAACTTTCCATCCACCCAAAAACCTGCACAAACATGTCTGAAGCAGCTTCATAATTGCCAAAACTTGGAACAACCAAGAAGTCCTTTGGTAGGTGAATGGGTAAACTGTGGTACATCCAGATGATGGAATATTATTCAGTGCTAAAAAGAAATGAGCTCTTAAGCCATGAAAAGACAGGGAGGAACTTCAAGTACATATTAATATTACTGAGTGAAAACCAGTCTGACAAGAGCAAATACTGTATTATTCCAACTACATTCATTCTAGAATGGACAAAACTATAGACAGTAAAAAGATCAGTGGTGGCCAGGAGTTTGTGGGGGGATGTAGAATGAATAGGTGGAACATAGGAATTTTAGGACTGTGAAAATACACAGTATGATACTGTAATGATGGAGATGTGTCATACATTTGTCAACACTCATAACCTACTACATCAAAAGTGAACCCCAATGTAAAGTATGACCTTTAGTTAAGAATAATGTATTAGTTTATCACTTACAACAATGTGCTATAGTAGTGTTTGATGTTAATGATGGGAGGTGAGGGGAGTATATGGGAACTTCCTCAGTTTTTCTGTAAACCTAAAACTACTCCAAAAAATAAAGTGTATTAAATTAACTTTCAGAATTTCACTTTGGGTTTTGATATTTTAGAATTGTATTTTCATTATTCCCACATGCTATGTCCCTGACAAATTAGGAATTTTGATATCAAAGCATATTTAAGATTCTGAGTTGAGGAAAGGTGTTTTTTTCTCAGATAGTCTCCATTTTATACTAGATAATAAACTCCTCTGTCCTCTCAGCTGCAGGACTCATGCACACGTTCAACGCCCATGCTGCCACTGACATCACAGGCTTTGGGATTTTGGGTCATGCACAGAACCTGGCTAAGCAGCAGAGGAATGAGGTGTCCTTTGTGATTCACAACCTTCCTGTCCTGGCCAAGATGGCTGCTGTGAGCAAGGCTTGCGGAAACATGTTTGGCCTCATGCATGGGACCTGCCCTGAGACATCAGGTATGAAGATGCTGGGCCTAGATCTGAGAATTAAACTAGTGAGGCTGAAGTGAAATCCCATGAGAAGGAAGAAGCCAGGTACATGGGCATGACCCATCCTTGTGTGAGGTCCGTGCTGATAACCTTGGCCTTCATAGCAACGAATGTTCCCAGCCCCCTCCGCTGCTGTTGGTTACCTGTCCCTTGCCCTCCTGTATGTGATCAAGCTGCGTTATTTTAGTCTAGTGTTTTTGTGCTCGGTGATAGGGAGGGAGTATGGGAAAAATAAGTCATTACTCTATTTTCATTGGAAACTTGAAATAATACCTATAGGTAGATTGAACAGGCTGTATTTCCTGTAAAAAAGAAAACCTCTAAAATTGCTGTTTAAGAATGAAAAATATATATAGTATGTCTCCAAAATGCCATTTCCCATTTTTTCTTTTCCCTTTACCTTGGTTCTTGTGTTACATCCTTTATGTTTCCTATCCCTTTTTTTTTCAGTCTCTCATATTTTTGTTTTCTCTACTTTTTAATCTCAGTAGTTTCCCTACCCTGGCCAAAAGAGTTGAATCATCTGGGGATTTAAAAAATATCCCTGCCTAGTTCCCACCCCGAGGAAACCAGACCACGTCAGTTTGTTGTGGGTATGGTTATAGTATTTGTCACAGCTCCCCAGAAGACACAAAACCTTGCCCAGACGTCAACCCTCTACAAGGGCTCTCCAGCAGGCCTCATCCAGCCACTGTAGAGGACCCTTCAACTTCCTGTCTTTGAAAAAAAAGCAAAATCCATTTTCTAGAAATAAGCCCCAAGAGAGCAACAGAGTTCTTGTTTCAGCATCTGGCTTGAGCAGTGCCTGCCACCTGGTGGGTATGAGAGAAATCTTGAATGAATATGTGAATATTACCAACAAATTCAGTTTGTTTCCTTTATTCAAAAATGAGAAGTTTTTATGTTTTGTAAATGTTTGTGTTTTTTCCTGATTGTGTTATTTCTGCTTACATTTACATACAAAATTTTCTGTCCTAGCTACTGAAATAGCTTATTTTAACTTATTTTATACCTCTATTTTGATGATGAGGACCACTCATAGAACCTAGATACTGTAAGGCATATATTCTTTCATTATTTCAATTTAAAAACTAAAAATACAGAAATGTGGAATCCATGTAGAGAATCAAATAAAAAAGGGTAGTTCTCTCTTTTTTTTCATTATTAAAGTATCATTGATACACGATGTTATGAAGGTTATCATGAAAGACATTGTAGTTACTAAGATTCACCCATATTATCAAGTTCTCCCCATACCCCATTATAGTCACTGTCCATCAGCATAGTAAGATGCTATAGAGTCACTACTTGTCTTCTCTGTGCTGTACTGCCTTCCCCGTGACTCCCTACATTATGTGTGCTAATCATAATTCCCCCTAATCCCTTTCTCTCTCCCCAACTCCTAAGGGTAGTTCTCTTTAAGAGAAAAAACTTTTTTCAGTGTAGCTTGGAAAAAATAACTACCCATATGTTACTGAGGCCTCAAGTACCTTACTCCTGCAGAACATTAAATGATTCACAGATAGGTTATTTGCAATTTAAAGTTTCTTTTATGTATGTGTTTTAACATAGTCAAATTTTACCAAGAAACTGCTGAATTTATAGTTTAATCTGTGGAATAGGTGAAGGCAGAACAGAGCAGACTTCCCAGTTGAGTGTAGAAGGCAGCTTGCACACAGACAGAAACAAGTTGTTGGTTGATGTAGATCTGTACAGAAGAATATCAAGAGAGTGGGATAGAAGCGCTTACAGAGAGCATCACAGCTAACTGGCAACCTTTCTTTTCCCTTTGTCAGGAGGCCTTCTTATCTGTTTACCACGTGAGCAGGCGGCTCGGTTCTGTGCAGAGATAAAGTCCCCCAAATATGGGGAAGGTCACCAAGCATGGATTATTGGCATCGTAGAAAAGGGCAATCGCACAGCCAGGATCATAGACAAGCCCCGGATCATCGAAGTGGCACCACAAGTGGGCACTCAAAATGTGAATCCCACACCTGGTGCCACTTCTTAATCTAGACAGAAATTACTATTTGGTTTTGTTTTTAAATAGATCTATTTCCTTTTTCATCAATTCAATTAAAGACTATAAACAACAAAATCTCATTGTGTCTACACATATGGTGACCTTAGGTCAATTTGTGAATGGATGCAATTAATAAAATAAAAAACATTAACTTTTTTTCCTGTTACATTAACTGAAGATGCACCTAATTTTGAGGCAGCTTCTGAGTTGAGACTTATATTGTTATCCAATACTGTTGATTCATTTTGAATCTTTAGACACTTATCTCTTGCCGCATAGGCTCTTTTTAAAGGTGCTTTCACACAGCACAGACATTACCAATTGTAGTGTCAAATAGCAGTTAGTACCTTTTCATTTTATGTGTATTTATCATTATCGGTCTGATTTTTTTTAAGTGTCTAAAATGGTATTCTGGAAAGACAATTGGTAAGTGACACAGTGGTATCCCTATAGTGAGAGGGTTGCATGATTCCTTCCCAGTCTTTGATTTGTAAAGCCAAGTCTTCAAAGTCAAGAGCATCTCTTTGATCCTGTTCATTTCCCAATACTGCACTCAGTTAAACAAGGCAAGTGCTTAACTCTGCATGGAAAGCACTTTGAAGACAAGACATTTTTTTTGTAGCCTTCCTAATATTTACAGTAATACCAACTTTTCTTTATTGATAGCAAAAGATACTTTTTGCAATGTAATTAGATGTTCTATAGTGCAACAAGGAATTGCCTTCCAAAAGGGGGTTCATGTATAATAGTCATTTACAATTCAATATATAATTAATGACACAAATAATTTTTAAATATAATCAATAATAAAAACTGTTCTGTGGATGGTAGTGTTTAATACATTTTATATTTTGTATAGTGATTTCAGGCCTTTTGTTTTCTTAAAAATCAACTATTTAGCCTAATTCTTAGCATTATTTTGTCCTTTGCGTAAGTACTTTTTTGTGCACGCTTTTTGTGATCTGTGTTAAAAAGCTGCATTGTCAACACTGCAGCTCAACCTTAAACTTGTTATTCAAATAAATATTTAATTTTTTTTATTGCTATTGTATAATCAGATGCCCCTTTTAGTGTTATTTTAGAAGCATTGGGAGGGTTTTGGCTAAAATACAATTTATTGGGGAAAACTAGATTTTAGTTTTATAAAACTTTCAAGTCTTTCATGGGACCTATATTTTCTTGAATTAAATTTTGTAGTTCTAGAATAAATAGGTGATCTAAAAGGGTGTTTATCTGTGTTACTTAAAAACAGAGGCTTCCTTACCTTTTAACCTACTAAACGATTAGGAGGGATCCTGTCCTTAAGCACAAGTGCACTGACTCAAGTGTCTGCCTAAGAGAAAAGCACCACATCACTCCAAGTTTCTGAACGCTTCCCGCTTACAGGCACCAAAGCCAAGTGAACAGATGACCTTGCCAAAGGAAGCCACTCAGTTTGAGAACTCGGAGATGAAGCCACTGGAAGAGGCTTTGCCTCGGATGCAGCCTCCTTCAGGAGCCAAAGGGTAGCCTTCCGCCTGTGACTGGAGTTCAAGCCACAAGGTCGGTGTGCAGGACCTGGGAGGCTGCAACAGAACTGAAAGTGACTGGACATTTGATAGGGATTTATGCAGATGTTGATTCTCAAAAGCCACAAACCAGTGGTCTACAAAATAAAATGTGTTGGAACCCTCTGAGTAAAATGAACATACTGTTGAGCTTTTTTTTTTTTTTGAGTACACTAGTCATGACTAAATCTGCACTATTAGGACTAAATCTGCACTATTAGCAGTATTGATCATGTCTTGAATGCTGATTTCCTTGGTGACAGGCCAACTGAGGAAGTGAGCCAAAAGAATTATGCACTTGAGGAGATCATCTTCATGAGGAATCATATTGATAAAATATTGGGCCATGTAATTTATGTGACCTGAGGAGGAAGAACTGATCTTTAAAACTTTCTCAGAGAACAGCCCAGATCACCTGTATTAGGATCACCTGGGGGTGCTTGGCAAAGGTAAATTCTTGGGCTCCACCCCAGACTGACATCAGGGTGTTGGGCTACAGAATCTGTCTTAAATGAGTACCCTAAGTGGGTACCACAGATCTGAAGGAATGTTAGAGGGCTGAGGGAGGCAAAAACCATAATTCTTTGACCATAATACTTTTACAGGAATTTTTCTTTTAAATCTTGACCATTCTGTTCATTGACATCTGAGCCCAGCAAAACAAAAAACCTCAAGTATCTTGAAATTTCCTTGAAGAATTAGGGGGCTGTCATTGAGTATTTTAGTTCTTGACAAAATCTATGTAGAATATTTTTAAATTGGGTGAATAGACAATCGCTTGGCTTCCTTGTACCACTTTAAAACTTTGTGTTCATCTTAGTACAGTGATTTATTTTCTCTGAGTCCTATGATGCAGTTGCTACTGAAAATACAGATTGCTGGAATGCACAGAATTAGTGAATATAGCCTGATGATCAGGCTGGGCTCTGTTGAGGTCAATAAATTCCCTAAAGCAACAGGACTCATTTGTCAAGAAACATCAAAGCTTAGCTTGTTATTTGCACAGGCTGTGTTGAGGCATTTACTGTGATTCAGTTCAGGAAAGGAAACTTGAAATAGTATGTAAGCAATATGTACTTTTTCTTTTTGGCTCAGTGTTTTTAAATAAGTATATTGTAGTCCCAAAGTTCTGCATGCCTTATGATGGATAAATGTGAGTGTTTTAAACTGTTCTGACTTTAGATGTATGAGCCAGCAATTCTCAGTCTGAATTTAGCACTGCCCTTAAAATAATTATATCTGAATTCTAAATTTTACTGTTACTCTGTAAAGAGAGGCCAGAATTAGCTATACTACACTATATTTTTAGAAGTAATAAAGCAAGCAAAGATACTGATGCTTTAGATACTCAACTGTCATGTGTGTTTGTGTATATATCCTTGAGCTCATTTGCACACCCGGCCCATTCTTTCTCTCTAGATTAAGTAATTGCAGAGACAACATAATTTTCATCCTTTTCCCATTAAAAATCTGATGAACCATGCAATTATTAAACAGATTGAAGTCCACAAGGAAGAGCAACAGATTGAAAGCCATGTCCTTAGAAGCAGAGCAGAGGAATATCATTTTGCTTCTGGTTAAGTCTCTGTCTTGCATGAGAATGAGAGTGGGTGGGTTGGACAGGCTTTCAAGTAAAATCCCTAAGACCCGGTGTTCACAGGTGTCTAGACATGTTCAACAATTGATGTAATCCAAGCTTGCTGTTGACAATCGCTTTGTGCTGGTAAGTAGTAAACACTGGGTAAATAAGCCTTGGACCTGTTCTCTAAGATTTCCTGTATTGCATAGTTCTTAAATATTTGATACCCAACTCTGAATACTCAGTTGATGTTTTCAGTGGTTTTTGACTCTTAGTCTGATTGTTTTTGGGGGGTAGTTTTATACTTGGGGGACTACATGTAATGAAGCCCATCAAAGCTTCATGGGAGGAAACAGAAAATTCACTATACCATTGATCTGCCTGCAGAAAAACCAATGTATATTTTACTCATTGTATTTCAAGAACATAGCATTAGCACAGAAGTTTATGGAGACCTATGGAATGTTGATAATTATCAATGATCAAGTTCTATATTTTGCCTAGTTCTTAGAGCTCTCACGATAACGTCTACATTCCATTAATGTTCTAAATATAGTTCAATAGTTATAAAATGTTTATTTTAGCAACAATTACTAAAGGTGCCAATTTAGGAAATTCCCAAATAATCCAAATTGTTATTTTAAAAAACCAGTAACATCAAATTTCCTCTTCTTCTAAGGAGAAATTATTGTTTTAATTCCCCATGGGATCTTAAATGACAAATTTTAAACCCAGCATCTCTCTAATTTTAGAAAGGCAGGTAATAATTGGAAGCACCCAAGGATTTCCTTCATCTCTTGTAACAGTTACAAACTTAAACACGTCATTTGTATAAATGCCTTACGATAGAGAGGGCAGGGACTTTGACACGCTGGTGAAATGAGGGTATTTTAGGGAACATTAAAAATTCACGTATAGACCGCTCATCTCATTCGTATTCATAACTGCTCAGGACTGCAAGTAACTTTCAAGGCCAGTGAGGGTAAAGGTATTGATCTTTAATTCCGATAGGGGTGAACATAATTTACATTTTTTTTCATTTTTCCTCCTCCCACTAGTCCCCACTTTTCACCAGGTGAGGGCAGTAAAGACACACCTATTCTCTTCCCATTACAGTTTTTCTTGGAGGCAGAAAGACAGATTCCCTTTCCTGTACCTGCCAAAGGCTAAATTCTTCCATCTTAAAACTATGATAAGCCTAAGTGCATCCTCCGAAAACCCTTGGTTATCCAATCATCAAGTTCAGGCGCAAGTTCCAGCCATCAGTTTGGGGGTTTGAGGTGAATAGCTAATGAGGGAAGGCCCAGGACATTTCCGTTAACCTAAAAGAACCTAGGAGTCCAGGTAAGGAGGAATCATGGGGAAAGAGTAAGGAGCCCACAGTTGAAGACCAAGGACAGGCCTTGCTGGGGATGCTGGCTTTCTCCTCTCTGACTCACAGTAAACAGGAGTAGCCTAATGATTCTTGAGTCCTGGCCAGCTTCTCTCCTTGACTGTACCAGTTTGCCACATTACATAAGGGCGTCATTTAAGAAATGATGACATGTTTATAAAGGTGAGACATTCTGGAAGTAACTCTATTAAAGTAAACAATGAGAAAATTAAGAAAAAGAAACAAAGAGATGCTCTGTCAATCATATGTAGATAGCAGATGGAAAAGAGATCTTACTGGAGTTTCTAATTCTTACAGCCATTATGGAAACCAGTATAAATGTTCCTCAAAAAATTAAAAATTGAACTACCATTAGGTCCAGCAATCCCACTTCTGGGTATTTATCCAAAATAATTGAAATCAGGGTATCAAAGAGATATCTGCACTCCCATGTTCACAGCAGCATTATTCACAATAGCCAAGATAGAGAAACAACCTAAGTGTCCATAACAGACAAATGGATAAAGAAAATGTAGTATATACACATATACAGTGGAACATTCGCCTTAAATAAAGAAGGAAATTCTGCCATTTGCAACATGAGCCTTGAGGGCATACTAAGTGAAATAAGTCAGTCACAGAAGGACAAATACTACATAATATATATTAGTATTTAGTATATTTTGTAGTATTTATGTATTAAATTAGTATATTAGTCTCATATTAGGACTATAATACTACATAATACCACTTATATGAGGAATCTAAAGGAGCCAAACTCATAGAAGCAGAGGGTAGAAGAGTGGTTTGCTAGGGGTAAATGAGGGCAAAATGGAGAAGTGTTGGTCCAAGGGTACAAAGTTTCAGTCACGCAAGGTAAATAGTTCTGGAGATCTACAAAAAAGCTTGGTGCCTATAGCTAATAAATCTGCTAAGAGGGTAGAACTGACGTTCTTACTATACACACAAGAAATGAGATAAAGGGGGTGGGAGGAAACTTTGAGAGGTGATGGATATTTATCGCCTTGATGGTGGTGATGGTATCACATACTTATCTCCAAACAACTAAAAAAGCCAGAACTGTAAAAAGAAGAAAAATGAATTTCTAGTTCTTTAGAAATTTTAAAACTATAATAGGCATGTGGATTAGACATTTCAAGGGAGTAATTTACTTCTTACATATATATTTTTTTTCTTTTTTAGTGAGCAGCCAAACTATTTCTAATATTTTGGACTGGATTCCTCCTAAATAAATCATCTTTTTTAAACAGCATATATTACTTCTAGGGCCGAGCATCTGAATTTTTATTCCTTCAGCAACTTGGTGGAAGGAAGAGTCATGTGAGACAGAATTCTAAAGAGAAACTATGGGGTTAAAAATGTAGACATGTCTGGCTCAATTTCTGATTGGATGACCTTGCGCCAGTTACTAAGTCCCTCCAAACGAAGTTTCCTCCTATTGGAGTAGGGTCATCAAGGTCCTTTAGAAGCCGTGGAGGGAAGCCCGCACCGTAGGATGGCCTCCGCGCGCGGACTCGGGGCGGGGCGGGGAGGGGCGTTTCTGCGCGTCGCCCTGGGCCTGGCTCGCTGGGCGGTGCTTCCCGGGAGTCCCCCTGTCCGGCTACGTCCGCCCGTCACCTCGCGGGTCGCTCAGTGGCAGGGCGAAGGCCGACCGACTTGTCTCGTCGCCAGGGCCATGGCCCAGGACCGCGCAGCCACCCGCCTCAGCGTCGTGCTGGGACATGTCCGCCGCCCCTTCTCCGGGGCCGTCGTATCCTTCGGGCTGCGCGGGCTCGGGCGGGGAGGGGGTGGGCCAAGCGAAGAGCCCAGCCGCCGCGCGGGGCCTTCCTCTTCCCCGCGCCCCGGCTCCGCTATGCGCGCGGGGGGACAGCGGCGGAGGGGCACTCCCCGGCGCGGGGGCCTGTCGGTGACCGCGCTGACCTCCGCGGCGGACGTGCCGTCGCTCCAGCGTCCCCGGCTTTCCTGGGGCCTCTGTTTCCCTGCTTAGTGAGGGGACAGGGGGAGGCCTCGCCCAGGCTTCCACTCTCGGCTGCCTCATTTTCTGCACTTGGACCCAGACGCCTGGGAACGTCGAAGCAGAGTCGCCCCTGAAGCAGGAGCGCAGAGCGGCTGGGAGGCGCCAGGGCGGGCGCGGGCGGCGGGGCCCCCCGGAGCTCGGCGTGCGCGGTGCCGGGCGCCTGCGAGCCCCTGGGAAATGGCTTGGTACCCTTGTCCTCCTGACTTGGCGTTCATTCAGAGCTGTGTGAGCTGCCGGATAAGATCCAGAAAGATGTCATTATATGATCTGAAAATCAAATTGCTTCATAGAATTGTTTTTCCCTTCTCAGAGACCGTGTTCTCGTTCAGGAGGTACTTTTGGAAACTCCATAGAAAACTCTGAGATTTTTTCCTTAAACGACCGGGATTAGCTCCTGTTGTGCTATATTTCAGATCCTGAAACTTCCCATGAAAAGATTGCTGCGTTTCTTTTACTTTGCTTTCCCCGCTGAGTTCCAAGCAGCGATGTAAAATCCCGTCCATCGGCTGATAAAGGGAACCCAGGTGATGTAATCTCACTGTACCGTGAGAAAACAGAAACTGAGGCTGGGAGAACTGAAAAGCCTTGACCACGGTTATTTAATTTAAGCAGCAGTTGTCAAACTGTGGTCCCTGGACCAGTAACATGAACATCACCTGGGAACTTGGTAGAAATGCGGACTGTCGGGTTCATCTCAGACCCAGAGAATCAAAATCCCTGAGTTTGGCGCTCAACAATCTGTTTTCACTTGTTTCAGATGCATGCTCAATTGTGAGAGCCATCGGTACACTAAGATTAGATGTAACTGGAACTAGAATTAAGATTTCTTGGTCCTGTCTGTTACTGCTTTTAAAATTCAATTTTCTGGTCCTTGTTATAATAGTATCAAGGTCAGAGATTAGCTTTTTCATCTGTATTTCCTAACCGCACTATCCAATATCATTTTCTGCCCTGGTGGAGAGGCCAAGACCAGCACTGTGCACTGTGGTAGCTACTGAGCCACATGTGGCTATTGGGCAACTGAAATATGACTAGTGTAGCTGAGGAACTGAGGTTTCAATTTTAATTTATTTCAGTTTAAATAGACAGATGTGGCTAGTGGCTCTCATATTGGATGGCTCTGCCTAGAATTTCAGTGAATATGTGTGGTTTCGGCTAAAACAGATTACTGGAAATTCTGTGGCAGTTTTTTCCAGCCACAACTGGTTCTACAGAAACACAGGTTCTGTAAGAAATAATTTTTGAAGTATAACGCAGTGCAGTTTTTAACTGAAGATAAGCATAAAGAAGAAAATAAATATGGCCTGTAATTCCACCACTAACAGATTATTTGTAAACTTTTTGGTGTGTTTCTTTTCTCTGCATCTACATAACTACATAAATAGGACCATCCTGTATGTACAGGTTTTTTTGGCATCCATTTTTTCATGTAACTTTTTTTAGTAAACATAGTAAATGCTTCATTGTATATAATAAATAGTACCATATCATTAAAAAAAATTCTCCAAGAACAACAACAAAAACATAATGTAGGAGTGGTAAGGTGGAGAAAATAAATTTGTACTGGAAGGCGGCAAAGAGAGTTTGTACCAACCTCATCTGCTGAAAAGAGATGACACGGTCAGTAACCTCTCTGCCTCAGGGAAAACCGGTGGTAGATAGTAATTTTGACTCCTGCCTGCCTTTCTCCTTGACTGTTCTATTGCTCCCAATTATATAAGGACATTTTTTTAAAATGATCACATGTTTATGAGAAGTGACATTCTGAAAGTTACTCTTTAAGCTAAAGAAAAGATGAAAACAATGAGAAGTAAAAAAGAAATAATGGGATGCTAAATCAACAACCTGTGGTTACTGGAAAGGAAAACTAGAAAGTATAGTTTCTTAAGATATTTAAAATTATACTCAACTGTGTGATTCCTACTTTTCTTGGAGTCATTGTTTATTTAATACATTTTTTTTAATGACCAAACTTTCTAATATTTTGGACAGACTTTCACCAAATAAGGATCTCTTTTGAATAGGACATGTTTCTTTCTACTTCTAGAATTGAACCTTTCAATTTTTATTCATTCAGCAGCTTAATGGAAGGAATAGTTATGTGGAATAAAATGGAAGCTAAGAAGTAAAAAGCATGGGTCAACTGTTGACTCAGATATTTTCTGCTGGTGACCCTGGACCAGAGCCCTCCACGCCTAGGTTTCCTGTTCTGTGCAGCAGAAATTATAATAAAGTTCCTGGGCTCCAGCACCTCCTCAGCTTTTGTGAAAATCAGATGAAGTGATAAAAAACGCTAGTGCAGTTTTCTGAGACTACGTTGTCACTCCGCCTGATGTCCATTTGGGAGCAGTCTTCTCTTGTGAGTGCTGATCCAGGATAGACCTTTGTTTCTAGAAAAGATTGACTCCTAAATTTTGTTTGCCTTAATTCACATCCTAGAGAGCTCGCCCCACTTCAGGAACTGTTTCTCCTGGCAGTTTCCATCCTCAACAATTTCAGTAAGTAGACCCAATTTTAATTTTTAACCACTCAATGTATGTAAGGGTTTTTCTAGTGGTAGCTAGGATATAAAATATATCATGATGCGTGATGAGAATTCATTATACAAATCTTGTTTCCAGGACTTGTTTTTATTAGAATAATTCTGGATAAATTTGAAGACCCTGACTTTAATTTTCTGTATGTATTTTAAAATTCAGATAAGTAGGAAAAATATCAGAAAGTTCATAATCTGGTTTTTTAAAATTCGGGCTTGATATATCTCATTTAAATTAGCTTGTAGTCTGGTCATACTGATATATAAGGTAGTGTCTTTGGTTTATTTTAAATTACTTTTTTTATAATTGAAATGTTGTTGATATACAATCTTATATTGGTTTCAAGTATACAACACAGCAGTTCAACAGTTACCCATATTATTAAATCCCCACCCCCACAAGTGCAGTTACTGTCAACAAAGGAAGATGTCACAGAATCATTGACTATATTCTCCATGCTGTACTATCCCTGTGGCCAACTTATACTGTGAATCAGAATTTCTGTGCCTCTTTATCCCCCCCTCCTCCCCATGTACCTACTTCAACCCCTCCCCCATAGTAACCACCAGTCACTTCTCAGTGTCTGAGTCTACTGCTATATCTTAAATTACTTTTGAAAGGGAAGAACTTATCTCCAAGGAATATTTTCATAGAGCCACACACAGTCCAATACAGAGGGATGGATTAGTGATCTGAGTTTGTATGTATGCTGTACACTTATTTGGATTTTGTTACTTTGATTTCTTCTGAGAGTGTGTGAACTGGATATTTAAAAATATACAATCTATTGAATTTATTTCCCACCTGAAAAACCAGACACGTTCTTACAGAAAAAATTTGAAAATGGGAGAAATAGAAGGAATTTTTTAAAATCATCCATAATTCTATTACATAAAGGCAATCTGTTAAAATGTTTGTTGTATTTCTTTACAGTCTTTTTTTAAGAGTGCCTTGTTTTTGCATAATTGTAATTAAAATATGTTATTATAATAAGCATTCTCCATACTATTATATGCTCTCATTTTTAAAGCCTGAGTCACATCCCATTGAGTGTATATAATCATTCTTCCATTTTTTTGGTGACAATAATTAATGCTTGGATTTAATGTTTAAACACTTTTTCAGACTATTTCATTGAATAAATAAAAACTGGAAATGCTGGATAGAAGTGTATGAACATTTCTCAGGTTCTTGACACATATTGTTAGGTTGTAATTTCTAAATTGGACTTATTTGAGGCTTTTTTTCTCCTTTAGGTATACTCGGGATAATTATGTCCTAAGCCCAGAACAGAGAGCTTTTTATGAAGAAAATGGGTTTCTTGTCATTAAAAATTTGGTCTCTGATGCTGATATCAAACGCTTTAGGTACTAGAACCCTATTTGTTGTTTTACAGAAATATGTGTTATATATATGTAACGGGAATATGAGTAAGATTGGCTTGGGCATATTCAGATATTTTTTAGTAATTTGGTTCATGACAAAGTGACTAGACCTCTGGACCCAGGTTGGTTGGCTTTAATCTTAGCACTGCCACTTAACATGGGGCAACTTACTTAACCTTTCCATGCCTCTGTAAAATGAGGAAAATAATAGTGCTTAGGTCCTAGAGTTGTTACGACTAAATAAAGTAACCTTTCCATGCACATCTGTAAAATGGGGAAAATAATAGTGCTTAGGTCCTAGAGTTGTTACGACTAAATAAAGTAACATACAGAGAATACTTTGAACAGGGCCTGGCACATAGTAAGTGCTGTGGAAGTGTTTGCTATTATTATTCAGATGTAACCAAAATTACAAATATTTCCCAATTGGTCTGCTAAGCTGAGGAATATTTGAATTTCCTGGTAGTGAATTCCAGCCTCATAGTTAAGAGGCAGGGCCATTTTCTTCTCCTTCCCATTGGAACTTTTCAACTCTGGCAGCAGGCCAGTTTAGTGGAGAGAAACCACACCCAGAATCTTCAAGCCTTTCCACAGAGCAGGACCAGGCAGGTGCTTGGCAACAGAGGCAATAACATCATCTGCCAATTTGATTTTCTAGGAATGAGTTTGAAAGAATCTGCAGAAATGAGGTGAAACCAGAGAGAATAATGATAATGAGAGATGTGACCATTGGAAAATCAGAATATGTTCCAAGTGAAAACATGGTTACAAAGGTCCAAGATTTTCAAGAAGATGAGGAACTCTTCAGTTACTGCACTCTCCCTGAGGTTCAAGACCTTCCTGCATTTTCCTTCTCTTTAATAGCCTCTCTGCATGTTTGCCTCTGAAATCTGCTTTTACTTTAGCCAGCCCTTTCTGCTGTGGCCCCACAGCAGAGGTTCTCAACTGGAGGCGGACATTTGACAGTTTCTCGACACATGTTTGACTGTCACACAGGAAGGATGGGTCTACTGGCTTCTCATAGATAGAGGCCAGCAATGCTGCTGATGGGACCTAGGCATCCTACCATGCATAGAAAAGCTCCCTCCTCAAAATGATGAATTATCCAGTCCCAAATATCAGTAGTGCCCCAACTGAGAAAACCTGCTCTACAGTTTGCTGACTATCCTTGGTTGCAAAGGGTAGGAATTCTGTATTAAAGACAGACAGCCTTTCTCACACTTGATATCAACAGGGGTGAAACTGCTGAAGCTGTTCATTGTAAATGTAGTAATCACATTGTTTTTTCATTGACTTATTTCCTTTTGTTTTATGAATCTAGTCAGTGGAGCTGTGAGTGTGTTTTAAACTATTTTTTTCTTTTTAAAAAAACATTCTCTAAGAGTAAATTATACTTAATGAAGATACTTAATGAAGATATCCAAATAGTACAGAAAGGCATAAAATGAAAAGTAAAGTCTCCCTCTTCGCCTCCACAGCCTCACTCCTGTGCAGCTTTTCTGTGTATTCATCCGGAATAATTTCATGTACATGCAAGCATATCTGTACACCCCCACCTTTTGTGTGACATGAGAACATAGTGGTTTCACCTTGTCTTTTCCATTTAGCAGATCTTAGACGTCTTTCCCTATCAGTATCTATGCGTTTACTTCCTACTTTTTAAACTACTGCATTGTATTCTGTTGCTTAAATTTACCATGGGTTATGAACCATTTATTTAGAATGGTTTTAAAGGACACATTGCATATAGTCCTTATGACTTTGAAGAAAGACTGTACAGGTAAGCTGCCTGTGATGTCCAGCCCCTTAGACTTGAAATGAGAGGGAAAGTAGCCCCTCTGAACCAGCCACTCTTCCCAAATTCAAGTCCTGTTATGGAAATGGAAGTTGTGTGGGTGAATCATGGATGAAAAGCTTGAAATCAGAAGCAGCATGTAGTGGCTTAGGCGCTGTCAGGACTTTCAGATTTCTTCCATCTCTAAGGTGTGACCCATGTATCATGTAGTTCATGGAATGATTTTTAGATGCATGCATGATTTTAATAGGTATTTATTTTAATGTATGTTGGGAAAAGTCCCCAGCATATCAAACCCATGATTTCAAAAATGTTATTAATCAGGATAAGACTAAGTAAAAGAAGTGAGTTAATTTAATTTAGGGAAATAATTGGCTAAGTATATTGGGAAATTCTGTAAAATATGGCAGAAATAGTGAAGATGGCTCTTGAGTGACTAAGGCTTAGAATATACCGGCCTAATCTTACTACTGATGGACAATGACTGCATTGGGGTATGGGTGGGGACTTGATAATATGGGTAAATGTAGTAATCACATTGTTTTTTCATGTGAAACCTTCATAAGAGTGTATATCAATCATACGTTAATACAAAATTAAAAAACAAAAAGAATATACCAGCCTAAGTGAATACCAAGAAATAACAGGCTTTATGAGAAAACAAGTATGAGGACTGACTTCTAGGATTTTTGAACATTTCAAGTGTTTCATACTCAAATTGCCGACATTCTTTACATTCAGGAGATCAAATAATAAGGAATCATAGGAGTGCTTCATATCTTGGAGGCAGACAGCAGTAGAGTTTGAATACTATCTTTTTCATTTAACTGGCGCTGCCAACTTGGGCAATTTATTAGCCTCAGGCTTATTCATTTTAAAGGATTATTAATTAATATGGGCATTAACTGATGGATTAGTGTGAGGCCTCAATGGGCTGATGTATACAGCTCCTGGTAGGTAGCAGTCGTTCCATGTTGAGTGTCCTTTCTGCTTCTTGCCCCTCCCTAAGTGGTGAGATGCCGGGAGCAGCGTCCTGGCTGCGGAGCCGGGACTAATTCAGCCCTCCCTGTTGCATGCTGTCATTGCAGCTTAGTCTTCTTAGCATGTGCATCAACCACAGCTGCCCTTTTCATTATTTGTTTAACATCTTTCTTCCCACCGGAATATAAACTCCATGGGTTCAGGGACCTGCTTAGCACGTTCATTGCTGTGTCCCTGTTTTCTGTTACTCTGTCCAGTTCATAGATCTTAATACAGGTCGAACGAATGGCTGAGTGTGAAGTCTCTGGGCCCCTCAGACAGCTGCAAATGTGCTGGGTCCTTGCATGTTGGGTCCCTTCTTGTGAAGTGTCTCAAGAAGGAAGAGGAAGCTGCCTTCTCACTGGGCAACCATTGACAGCAAACCAGCCACTCTTCCCAAATTCAAGTCCTGTTATGGAAATGGAAGTTGTGTGGGTGAATCATGGATGAAAAGCTTGAAATCAGAAGCAGCATGTAGTGGCTTAGGCGCTGTCAGGACTTTCAGATTTCTTCCATCTCTAAGGTGTGACCCATGTATCATGTAGTTCATGGAATGATTTTTAGATGCATGCATGATTTTAATAGGTATTTATTTTAATGTATGTTGGGAAAAGTCCCCAGCATATCAAACCCATGATTTCAAAAATGTTATTAATCAGGATAAGACTAAGTAAAAGAAGTGAGTTAATTTAATTTAGGGAAATAATTGGCTAAGTATATTGGGAAATTCTGTAAAATATGGCAGAAATAGTGAAGATGGCTCTTGAGTGACTAAGGCTTAGAATATACCGGCCTAATCTTACTACTGATGGACAATGACTGCATTGGGGTATGGGTGGGGACTTGATAATATGGGTAAATGTAGTAATCACATTGTTTTTTCATGTGAAACCTTCATAAGAGTGTATATCAATCATACGTTAATACAAAATTAAAAAACAAAAAGAATATACCAGCCTAAGTGAATACCAAGAAATAACAGGCTTTATGAGAAAACAAGTATGAGGACTGACTTCTAGGATTTTTGAACATTTCAAGTGTTTCATACTCAAATTGCCGACATTCTTTACATTCAGGAGATCAAATAATAAGGAATCATAGGAGTGCTTCATATCTTGGAGGCAGACAGCAGTAGAGTTTGAATACTATCTTTTTCATTTAACTGGCGCTGCCAACTTGGGCAATTTATTAGCCTCAGGCTTATTCATTTTAAAGGATTATTAATTAATATGGGCATTAACTGATGGATTAGTGTGAGGCCTCAATGGGCTGATGTATACAGCTCCTGGTAGGTAGCAGTCGTTCCATGTTGAGTGTCCTTTCTGCTTCTTGCCCCTCCCTAAGTGGTGAGATGCCGGGAGCAGCGTCCTGGCTGCGGAGCCGGGACTAATTCAGCCCTCCCTGTTGCATGCTGTCATTGCAGCTTAGTCTTCTTAGCATGTGCATCAACCACAGCTGCCCTTTTCATTATTTGTTTAACATCTTTCTTCCCACCGGAATATAAACTCCATGGGTTCAGGGACCTGCTTAGCACGTTCATTGCTGTGTCCCTGTTTTCTGTTACTCTGTCCAGTTCATAGATCTTAATACAGGTCGAACGAATGGCTGAGTGTGAAGTCTCTGGGCCCCTCAGACAGCTGCAAATGTGCTGGGTCCTTGCATGTTGGGTCCCTTCTTGTGAAGTGTCTCAAGAAGGAAGAGGAAGCTGCCTTCTCACTGGGCAACCATTGACAGCTTTGGTGGAAAGAAGGGTATCCCCGTCTTCCCAGTTGAGAGCTCATAGAAACTGATCTTCCTTTTAGAAAAATTGGCTAGGTTTCCAACTGGCTTCAAAACGCCTGTTTAATTAAATGTGTTGTAGATTTTCAATTGTTGGCGTTTTCATGATTTATTTGCAATGTTGTGAAATACCAACTTGTTTGTTAAGTACTGCCGTCCGGTTCTTGTATAGATAATTGTACTTTGTGACACTTTCCCGTGAACTTTTTCTTCCCTTTTCCCTTAGATTCTGAAATATGTGGAGTGCTTCACTGGACCCGATATTATGGCCATGCATACAATGTTGATAAACAAACCTCCAGATTCTGGTAAAAGATTCTTCTTGTGAAGAAAAAGCAAAAAAAAAAAAAAAGCTTAATTGAAAGTAGTTAAGGTTGATAGTCTAACTATAGCTATGTGTATAACTGCTAGATTTTGTATAAATGAATATATATGTACTTTTATATAAGTCTTAAGGTAGCTTACATCATAACAACATTGAAGTATAATAGTGATTTCAGTTAGGGTTTTTGCTGGATTTTTAAACAACTTGATTCCCAAAAATAGAGGGTAATAAAAATGACTGTTCATATGCCATAGGCTCCTATTATTATCTCTAAGCTTTCTTAACCTTTCTGACCCATTATAGTGTGAATTCTGCCTTCCTGACCTGAAGATATTCATATTACTAACAAAATTTAAACTATTCTTATGAATCAGATACTACATACAGTTCTTTAAATTTCTTGTGCTTACTCAAATGCAACTTTTAAGACTTACTCCCAGAGAGACTGATTTGGAAGGCAGAGCTCAGGAATCTGCAGTTTATTAACCATCCCCAGAGATTCTAATGCAGGTTGCTTTTGGGTCACACTGAGAAATTCTGCTGTGCCAGCACTAGTAAACTGGCCGTTAGGGATCCATCTATCCTTTTCTACTTTTTCTTCCTCCCAATGACTAATGTAGGTTTGTATGACAGACCTGTAGCTTAACATGACCAAGTCTCTTCCTCCTTGGATGTCTTCCCTGGAGACATCAGGTAGCCTGGGGAAGCAAGTTCAGAGAGCAAAACCAGGAAAAATGGAAATGCGGTCATGGTACCTCTGATTCTACAGAGTGACCATACACCAAATACTTCTAGTTCAGGGGGAACCTCTTAGAGGACTTCTATTTAGTTAATGTTTTTTGCATTAGCCCCTCAGCAGGCTATCGGGGGACCTGAAGTTTGATCATTCTTTTTAATTTAATTAGTTATAATCAATTTTTTTAATACTAGGTTCTGTGACCAAACCAGAGTTAGAAAGCAGTAACGTATAATGAAAATAATGACATATGTACAGCAAATGGTGTGTGTTAAGTCCTCGGCTACGAGAAACCCAGATAAAAAGTATAAGATCTGGAGTTGCTGTGCTGATCTGAAATTTCAGTTTGGTGCTGTCGCTCATGGCTGATGTTCTAGAGCACTGTTTCCTTAGTTCGTTTCTTGCAGGGATAGGTCGTTGTTCTGGTTTTTCAGCCAGAAGAGAAGAATTCTGAGATTCAAGCATCTTCTAACAGCAGGTTCTGTTTCAGGCAAGAAGACATCCCGTCACCCTATGCACCAGGATCTGCACTATTTCTGCTTCAGGCCCAGCAATAGTATAGTTTGTGCATGGACAGCCATGGAGCACATCGATCAGAACAATGGCTGTCTGACTGTTCTCCCAGGCACACACAAAGGCACCCTGAAGCCCCACGATTACCCCCAGTGGGAGGTAGGTCTGCCTAGAGGCTGAGTCTTGATCAGAATCTTTATTGTTTTGATTTCACATCAGTATACATGAAAAGCTTTACCAAAGAGCTTTTCATTTCCTTTCTTAGCAAAACATCATTCTAGGATTTGGAATTAGGATAAAGGAAAATTCAAGGGTGTCAGATAAAATAATCACTCGCTTTCAACAAGTGTTTGAAAGCCAGCCAATGTGGGGAACTTTGGTAGGTGCTGTATAAGGATCTAAGACTATAAAGCCTAATTGCAGAGGCAAAACATAACACTGCAGCACCAAATGTGTGTTAGAATTGCCGAGAAGCATGATGCACTGATGGATGGCTCTCAGAGTAAAGACGAGGGAGCCACTGTCTCCTTCCCGCTGGAGAGACCAGCAGAGGCTCTGGGAAGGGCTGAGTAGTATTCCACTGTGTGGTTTTTCCAGGGCTTAGCAATTTGAGTCTGTGAGTGATGAGATCAGATTGGTTCTTCAAGAATGATAATTGTGGGTAATTTGCAATCCCAGTGTAAGTTGGTCATGGGGATGGTAGTACAGCACAGAGAATAGTTAATGATTCTGTAACATCTTACTACATTGATAGCATCTGCACTAGAGGGAGCGGGGATTTAATAATATGGGTAACTGTTGAACCAACTGTGCTGTATATTTGAAACCAACATAAGATTGTATATCAGTGATACTTAAATAAAAAAAAGAATGATAGTTGTGGGATCTGGTACAGAATATATTGGAGGTATAAAAGTCCAGAGGCAGGGAAATTATTAGCGTTTTAAGTATAAGACAATAAGATCTTGAAACCTCACAATGATGGTCAGAATGGGAAGAGCACTTGTTAATGTAGGAAGAATGAAGGTGGTTCTGTGGGAAGTAAAGAATATATCTATAAAGGCTTCTATCTCAGAATTCCTGTGCTGATTAGTACTAAGTGAAAATATTTGAGTCTGTATTCTGATATACAATCTGGAATTCTGAGATTCATCAAGTAAGTTAAGGGTTAGGAAATGTTTGGTGCAAACAAACAGAAGTGGGCTCTGGCTGATTAAGTCAAAGGGAATGTTTAGAGGGCTGCAGGCCCATGAGGATTCTGTAGAAAGGCTGGCTAGCTCTGGTGGGCAGGAAAGCAGGAGTCATTGCTTAGTCGGAACTGTCGGGCTGGGGCACCTGGCATGGTTAGTTGAACCCGGACTATGTGTTATCTCTTTGATCCTCTATCCACATTCAGAATGGCCATAGTGGGAGGTCAGATTGGCTTAGCCTGGGGCTATCCACCCTGGCTAGGAGAGAGGCACACTGGATCACAGTCACAACACAGTCCAGCAGGGAAGCAGCCATTCCACAAAAGGAAAGTGGGACAGTCTTAGCAAGGGGGATGGTATGCTGTCCCCACCCCCAATAAAGAATTATAATCTTTAAATCACTTCTTGTTTTAGCTTCTTCAATAAAGACATAACCATTATCACCCAAAGCAATAACTAACTTTGGAAATGGGTAAAAACGAACACTCTTTTATTTTTCTTTCTTTACTCTGTATTGACATGACAGGTTTTAAGCTCAGAAAAATGGAACATTTTCTCTCCCCTAGTTTGGGAAAATAGTTAGCTTCTCAGAGATACTCCTGAGTAATAGAAGAAAGATTTATGCACAGTTCCAGGTGAGGAGAATATCATATGGGAAAGAATGATCATGGATTCAGGCTGAAAAGGTGGTCTTCTGTATTTACTGCAAAATGCAAAGCTGATTTAGATCTTCATTTATAAATCAGTAATGAAGGGTAGGTAGAAATTCCAAATTTTTCATTTCGCTCCCCAAATTTGTGATTTTAATAACCATGTATAACTTTCTAAAATGAGGCATCTGAGAAGCTTTTGTACATTAAGAAAATTATTTTTAAGAATTGAATTTATCTCTTTCTCTTGGAGGAACTTAGAGAACCTCTGCTTTTTGTGATAAGTTACCAATAAAGGTTTTATTTACTGGCTTCCTCAAATCCAAACTTGGCTTCTCTTCTGTGTTCTAGGGGGGAGTTAACATAATGTACCATGGGATTCAGGACTATGATGAAGCTGCGGCCCAAGTGCATGTTGTCATGGAGAAGGGAGACACTGTTTTCTTTCATCCTTTACTCATCCATGGATCTGGTGTGAACAAAACTAAAGGATTCCGGAAGGTATGCATTAACATTACTGCCAATTCCTAAGATGAATAGGTTTGAAACAAAAATGTCAAGATATGTTAAAATTTAAAAGCAATACTGCTTTGTGACTTTTAACTCAGCTGGCCTGTAGTCTGGTTTATTTACGAGGATATATATTTGCCTACTTCATGCTTTTTTGCTCAAATGATTAAGAAGCCAGGTGACTTCAGGATCCCCACCCTGTTGTTGCTGAATTCCCAACATTTCATGGAATTTCTTCAGAGCAAGACTTTACTTGACTAACTGACAACTTGTGCTTTCAGAGGCCAAAACAATGGCTGACATACAAAAAAATAATATTTGGAATGTATATAGCTCATTGTAGTCATACAAAAGGAAACGTTAACTGTATGATTCTACTTATCTGAGGTGCTCAGAACAGGCCAATTCATAGACAAGAAGTAAAATAGAGGTTATTGTTTAATGGGTTCAGAGTTTACGTTGGGGATGGAAAAGTTTTGGGTATAGATAGTGATAGTTCGATAGTTACACAACCTTGTGAATGCATTTAGTGCCACTGAATTGTACACTTACAAATGATTAAAATGATAAATATTATGTTATGTATATTTTACCACAATAAAAAAAAGAGAGGAGGTATGGCTTTCACGAGGCAGGCTTAGGTTTGAATCACAGATTCTTTAAAAAAGAGGAAAGTTTATAATATCATTGCTATTGGGAAAAATATTACTGAGGCAAAACAAAAGTTCTGAATTGGTTGCCCAGAAATCAGATTTAGTAGGCAGCTATATTTTTCACCCCTTAACCTCAGAGTGTCATAAACTTAATGATTTCATTGCTTACATTAAAGATTGACAACATTTCTCATAAATTCCCAGATTTCTTGCTTCTCTAAAATACAACAGATCTAACAGTACTGTGTGGGCTCACATTTCCCCATGACAACGTGGCTGTTGATACTAAATACTGGGAGTTTCTTCGGGGCTAAGTGAGGCTTTCTGGTTTGTCATGCCAACCCCTGCTTGTTTCCCCAAGGCCAAGGGTTAGTTGCCAAATTTCATCTTCCATTCATTTATATTTGAGGGTGAGGCAAGAAGGCATTCTCTTTGGGGCAAAATTTAAGGGGGAGTGGCACCAAAAATACTCAGCCATCAAGATAAATAATATTTTAAGGCAGCCTTTTAAAAATCCAAAAGGATGCAATTGGGCTCCAGAATGAACACTGCCAAAATTTAAATAAAGACAAGGATCAAAGTCCATGAGCATGACCTTCAGAACTGTGCAAGTAGGCGGGGTACAGGCACAGTGATACAGATAACGTGAATTTTAATATACCAACTTGGCTATTTCTCAAAATCTTTTCAACTAATTTAATGTTTGGAAAAATATTAAGCATTAGAAGAAAATACATAAAAACACGAATATAGAACTGCACATTTTCCCTTTTGCCTCGCTCCAGTATGGCTTGGTGTGGCACTGGGGCTTCTGTGGGAAATGGAGTCTGTGACTCCACTGCCTAGAAATTTGATGTTTTGGGCAAAGCTGGAAGTCCTTCTGACTGGTGTGGTCACCTTAAGATAACTAACTTGTGCATTAGGAAGGTGAATTTTAACTACTGCTTTGCATCTTAAATTTGTTCATGACTTTTTCAAGAATGGGGAGAACCAAGTAGCTTCTGTCTGACCTTCAGACAGAAATTAGATGGGTATTGTATGTGAATGCTATCAGACTTTAAGTGTCCTTTTGATTTGAGAGCGTGTGTGTATATTATTTTCCTTTGCAAGATATTTTCATTGTTTTTTTCTGTTGTTTTGTTTTTATTCCATCTGTGGTCATTGAAATAACAACCCATCACAAACTTGATGGAGTAACTAACTTATGTGACTAAGATGGTCATGAAAATTCTGGAATACATCCTTTTTTAGGACTTGGGGATATCCATTTATTAGAAAGATCAAATGCTAAGAAGTTCAAGACCTCTTACCTCTGAAATTATATTCCCTGCCCCATATATATCTTTTGAAAATAAAGATCACATCTACTTAAAAACCTCTTGTAATTTCTCAATTAGCCTTTAGCTGGGAAAACAAGAGAAGGAACCACAACAGGACTGATGTAAGACACAGTGGACTGGCTTGCAATCTAGAAATCAAATGTGGAGTGAAATAACTGACTTTCTAAAAGAATATTCCTTGCTTGGTTTGCTGGTGTTGATGGGATTTTTTTTTCTCTAATATTAATTGGTTTACTTTGCACAGGCAATTTCCTGCCATTTTGCTGATGCCCACTGCCACTACATCGATGTGAAGGGTACCAGTCAAGAAAACATTGGAAAGGAAATTGTAGAGTTAGCAAATAAATTGCATGGAATTAAAGGCATCACCCTGAAGGTATGTTTGTATGAAACAACAAGGTAAAGGTCTTGGGATTTTTTTCTAAAGAAGCTTAATAATTCTCATGCCTGATCTAATTTTAAAGTATAGAGTGCTGGGTTTAGAGCTCATTTCAGAGATGTTGCTGAGACCCACTAGTAAAGACAGTGGAATTTCAGTTTGTACTTGCTTCTCTGGTATAGGGGTCCTGAGAACTGCATCTGCTTCTTTATGCCTGTGGGCAGTCCTGTGGAATGCAGGTTATCCTCTTCCAGTACAGATAGGTGGGAAAAGAAATAGAAAGCTACCTAAGTGCCCCTCAGTAGATGAATGGATAAAGAAGATGTGGTACATATATGTACATATATATATAATGGAATATTACTCGGCCATAAAAAAATGAAATCTTGTCATGGATGGACCTTGAGGGTATTATTCTAAGTGAATAAGTTAGAGAAAGACAAATACTATATGGTCTCACTTATATGCAGAATCTAAAAAACTAAAACAAACAATCAAAACAGAGAACAAACTGGTTGCCATAGAAGAGGGGTTAGGGAACAGGCAAAATAGGTAAAGGGGATAATAAGGTACAAACTTACAGTTATAAAATAAATAAGTCACTGGATGAATAGTATAGCATAGGGAATATAGTCAATAATATAGTGATATCTTTGTATGGTGACAGGGTAACTATACTTACTATGGTGAGCATTTTATAATGTATGTAATTGTCAAATCATTGTGGTACACCTGAAAACAATCAACTATACTTAAATAAATGAATAACAAGAACAACAAAAAAGAAAACAGATTTAGGGGACAGGAAATGAAGGGCAAAGGCTATGTTCTAAGGAAAGTTAAAGGTTTGGGCTATCAATCACAGGCCTCCTTTATGGAATCCAGTAAGACTCCCAGAAAGCAATTGTCAAGTAAGTTTTTGTTTGGGGCAGTTTGCACCTGGAGTTTAATAAGAGGTATATCTTGCATGTAGCGGAGATTAAAGATCACTAATACTTATCAATAGGGAGTATGAGACAATATTTCATATGCTTTCCTAAGTAATACACATCACTTGTAAAGTATTTCTTTTTAACTAGTGGACATTCAATGCCGATGATAATTAATAGACAAATTATCAGTCAAGGCAAATAAATACATAAATCTGCTTTGTAGACTAAGCACATTTTTAGTGTCTGAACCAAGAGCTGATCCTGTTTTTTATATTTGTAACAGATAATGATAAAGCATGCATTTCCTATGGGAGTGGCATGGCCCCAAACAGACTGAGTGTAACGATAGCTCTGGGCCTTCCAATACTTTGAAAAGCACTGCACACCAGTACACCAGTGGCAGGCCCCCATGCCACTGGGAGTCATCTTCTGGAACACCTTCCCAGCTCAAGACTCTTCTTTCACCCTTTCTCCCTTCTCCCTTCAGAATCTATGAATGTATCCTGTATTTGAAAATGCTCTGATTTCATGTTTGCAGATCCTAAAGAAAGTCTTGGCCTTCTCCCTTTGTCCAGTACTTAAAATATCTTACCAAGGTGACATATTTTGTCAGCTGAGGCTTCCATCCAACACACTGAATTTTAAAGCAGAAAAATATATATATATTCTATTTGAGGTTTGTCAAAGTTGCACTATATGAATTACCTCCTGTATTTACTTTAGGTATTCTTTAAGGTGTAGTTTATTAGCTTTACTTAGAATAGCAACACTAATTTCTGCTATGTAAGTACCTTTGTAAGGTCCAAAGTCACTTTTGTTTGCCGAAGTTGTATAAGGGACAGAGCTAGATTACAGAGTGGGTCAGTTCCAGAACTGTTCTTCCCACCATACCTTTTGCTCAAAAATAAGCAATAAGAAATAAATAAGAAAGTCTGAATTGTTTTACTAAGAACAAATCAAAAACAAAGAAATAAACCAGTAACCCATGATATCATTTTGATGACTATGGTCTAATCAGGAGTAGATTACTCAAAATTGGGCAAGCAGATAACATCAAGGAAAGCAGGAGAAGGGGTAGTAAACTGTTTGCATAACACTCAGCCAGATATGAAGCATGGCAACAAGAGTGCCCAGTGAAAAAGAACTGTTTGGGGACTTGCTATTTTAGTGTAACACTATTTTAATATTGTTAAGTAAATTAACTGGAGTCTTAGCATATGGTTTATTTATTCACTGATATGATTATTGTGGAGTTTTTTTTTTTCTATTTGTTCATTTGTCAATGCAAGATACTATTTTGTCTTATGGGGAATAAACAAATCAAAGTGTTACACAAACTCTATTTGGCATTATTTCCAGGACATTTGGAGATTTCGAGCACGACTTGTGAAAGGACAAAGAATTAACCTTTGAAGTAACCCTTTGCTCTTTGAAAGAAAACCAAAAAGAAACAAGGTGTCTAAGGAAAATGTTTTCTTATTGAGACATGTAATCTTCTCTATCACTTATTAATAAAATCAAAATGCATGTATCAGGTACTTAATTGCAAATAGTTGATTTTGCAATGTGGTGGTGTTGCTTTAATGGATATAAAAACCATAATAGTGAAATACTACTGTTTTAAGGAAAACTAACTGGATTGCAACTAATAAAGATGATTGATATGTAATTTAAATGTGTTTAATCAATTTTGTTCATTTAATTAGCTCTTTACCCAACCAAAAAAGAATGCTTTGAAACTTAAGGTGTGTTAAGTTTTTGCAACCTTCTCCTGGAAAACCCACCATCTATCCATTTCATATCACGAGAGACTTCTTTTCACATCCAGAACAATGTATAATACATGCATATTTAATGATGGGCATTAGAAGGGCATCATGGAGTAAAACTATGGGTGGAACACATACTCTGACACGATTCCTTCCATGACTTCACCCAACTACCCTCCTTAGGAAACAGACTAGAACTTTCCAAGTCTTCTTCTTTGTTCCTAAGAAAGAAGACAAAGAAAACTTCATCTGCAATATTTTATTGGGCAAGCAGCTGAAAAAAACCTTAAGCATTTATGAAAAAGACCTAACCTCTTTCAAGGTACAGTGAGGGAGGGAGGGAGGGACATTTTCAGATACTTTAGGTTTGGATTTTGAATGAGCACAACTGGGGAAATTTATTTTAATAGAATATTTCTCTGCCAGCTGAGGGCAGCAAGGAGATATAGTCCTTATTTTTTAAGTTTCAGTTAGAACTTTAGAAAGAAAGAAAAGAATCCCTTTCTTGTCATTCTGCTAAGTACACATTTTTCTAAATCTAGTTTTGCCATTTTTGTTGGTTTCTTTGTAAGGAAACCCAGTTTAAGCTCAGTTCGAGCTAGAAACGGAATGGCTAGATTATCACTGACCAACTGTAAGGAAATTGGATTATGGAATCATTGGAAATAAAATGAGCATAAGGAATGCCAGCATAAATACCACATGGAGCACTGTTCTGCAATAAACTTCTCAAGTAATTTCATGTTTAAAATAAATTTGCTGTACAGCAAAAGACACCATCAATAGAAAAAAAAGGTACCCTACAGTATGGGAGAATATATTTGTAAATGACAGATCCGATAAAGGCTTGACGTCCAAAATATATAAAGAGCTCACC